TATAAATATATATATATATAAATGACTACATATACAGAGTGAGTCTCAAAATAGAAACCGGTTTTATAAGACATATTTCGATTATGGATAATTCATTCAATTGACTTTTTTCACACTAGAAACCTATGCTCACAACAATTGTAACAACAATTAAATGATATAATTCAATAATCACTTAATGTTTACAAGCATCTTATTCAATTAATGGCTTCTTATACTGGGTGTGTCCAGTAAGACAAAAATACTGAATACTAAATTTGTAAAATATGTTCTTCCTCAGAAATGTAAATTTTGTTTTACCTTCGTGTAATTAAATGAATCTCATTACATACGAATAAACATTACATTCGGAAATTAAGAATATCGCATTTATTTACACGATAATTTTATTTTCATTTCTTTCTTCGTCCTCCATTCATACGCTATATTGTCGTGCCCCGGGATTAAGAAATCTCTGGACACTGTGGATTATCTCGTAGTTATGTCATTGCAGAGTCTTAGAGGAGTTTAAGAATATTAAATGCAATATTCTTAATTAACTTTATTTGAGAAGTCAACTATACAATAGTTGATCTTATGGATTATTACTAGGAGTTACATTCTCCTCTTAAGTTAGTAATTGGGAAGACGGTGCTCTTACTTCTGTCCTCCAACTAAGACTTCTTCTCAGTTCGACCCTCTAGCTAAGACCAAATGATATAATACAAATATGTGTTCATTTCAAAAATGGGAAATCAGTTTTGAGCTTGTGATTCTACCCACATATTTAAGAGCGGAGTAGTAAATAAACTATACGATTTAATATCTGACTGTCTTTCGGAATATTCCACAAGTTATTCTAAATAATCACGAACAAGTATCCGTGTGTTGTTGATGGCTTCGTTAAATATGATATATAATAATTATGAGGAAAGTGGTAGGAACAAATATGCATATTAGTTATACAATAGATGATAATAAATTGGTTGGCCACGACAATATCTTTGGACACGAAGGTCCGGGTATCGTGAACTAATTAAAAAGTAACTCTCTTGCATAACATACATATACTTAATTTTGCTTACGATAATTCTGCAAAATTAAGTATCTGACGCCAATAAAACTAAACTACATATATAAACAGTCTTTATAATTAATAATATTGTTTATTGTAACAATAAATACGAAACAAAAAGTAAATTTTTATATTTATCATAAAAACTCTATACTATTATAACGATTTTTGTAAAACTGTGATATCACGAAGTAAAACAATAAATAAAGAGATTTTAATAAAGTTGGTTTTACTTCTTTGGTGGGAAATATATTTTTTTGGAAAATGTTGCTGTATATTCTATAGCCATTTTTCCAATTACCCCATTTTCAATCATTCCTTTCTTATTTTTAATTATATTTTGCATCCTTATGCACATATCCAATAGGTGCTCTCTTAAATATAAAGAATTAATTTGTTGTTATTGTTCTACTACTTGATTATACTTACTCATTATTATTTTCAATTACATCACACAGTGTTTGTATGAACCATGTACCTTTATTTATGTCTCTAAATGATGCATAGCCTGGTACCGTCGACCATATTTCTAAAATATCACATACATCAGGACTTTCATCCCATTCCATTGATGGGCCATCAGTAGTTAGATTAGATTCAGTGCGATTTTCTGGAATTGAAAATGTTTAATAACAAAAAAAAACTTTGTTCTTGTTAAAGTAGTCACACCTGTATAAATTTCAGTACCCTGGCATGATTGCATAATTAAAACTTTAGGTTTATCTTTTAAATTGCGACAGTGCGTCATTTTTTTCTTAATTTGTTCAATTTCCAGAGGAATACTATTTGAAGCAAATACTTTGCCTAAAAAAAAGGTTAATGTATAAATATATATTAAAACATATATTTAAATTCAATTACCTTTAATTCCGTGCGATAAAAATATGATAAAAAGAGATGAATCTTCTTTTTTAACTTGATTCAGTGTATCTTGAATAATGCTAATCATTTCAACATGCGTTTTATTTCTTTGCAGCAGCACTTTGAAATTAAAATTCTCAAATACTTCTTTCAATCGATTACTATCAAACTTAGTTCCTTGTCTATCTTTCAACTTTTCTGAAAGAGGTGTAAATAGATTCTAAAAATATATATTTTAAAATTATATTAAGGTATTGGGTTAAATACAAACCTTATACATAGGATTAATTTCTGTATAAAAACATTCTATATCAAAAATTAAGCATATTCCAGGATGATCTGGATCAAAAATGTAACTTGTATCTGAAGCATTATTTGGAACTGGCATTTCATCCAGTTTCATGTTTTGAAATGTATTACTATTTTCAGTCTGACTAATAATTAGTTTCAATTCATCATATTCTTCATCTAATTCCATATATTTTAAAACTTTCAAGATATTTGCAAAATTTGTCTTGGAAATAAATTTAATTGTTTCAAAGTATGAGAAATACATTTCTAAATATGGGTATACTTGAAAGGAATGACTTTGGTACATGTCATTATTAACATAGTTAATAAATTGCTCTGCTCTGGTCAAATCAAATTTTTCAAGTAGTAGATATATATGTTTCCTTATTTGATTTACATATATACTTGACATGTTTTGCAAATGAAACTTATATTCAACATTGTTTTTAGACATGCCTACAAAAATATTCATAATTATTCTCATTACTGTCTTCAAATACCTTACCTAATATTTTGAGTGTACTATAATCTTGGATTATAGCTAAAGCTTCAATAATTGTATCTTTGGCATTGGTCGATGATTGAGATTGCATGTAGTTTTGTATTATATTTTTTTGAGAACCATTGACTATTAATGTCATATCTTGCAATGCAATGGAAGCATCATCATACAATAAATAAATTAAAGAAATCTAAAATAAAATATATGTACTATGCTGAATATTTCATATATATATATGATTTTGTTTACTTTGTCTGCTATATCCATATTGTTAAATGCATATATAAATATTTCATCTGGACAGGGATGAAATGAAACAGTTGAATCTAGAACCATATTGCAACTTTGATTTGATTGTATTAAAGTAAACTGTGAACTCCTATTAGCTGAAATTGATTGAAATCAGTAAAAACAAATAACAAAATAAGTCCATATATACTTACTGTTATTGCACAATTTACTGAAATCAGCTTCATCAATTTCTTTATCAGAGTCGTCAAGGTCGGATGAGTTACTTTTATTATGCTTGCTTTGAAGAACACCCATTGCAGTTCTGAGAATTGCAGTGTTTCTTTTAGTGGTGATGTCAGCAGCTTTAAAATAGCTGGATTAAGTCGATTGACTAGCTTAATGTCATTTGATAACATTTAGTGACTAATGGTGTGCAAATTTCTTTTAATATTAACGGTATCAACCATCAATGATATGAACTGTGCGTAGGTTACATGCCAATATGTAATAAGCAATAAGCAGTAATAAGCTTGGCGCTTAAAATATTGTTATGTTGGTATTCTATAAGCCATAAGCACTATTTACTTAGTGTAACGTATTTTATATTTTTGAATAAAATGGTACATTCAAATTTAGTAGATTCTTGTATATATGAGAAAGTGCGAATATCGCGGTTCTTGAATCAATATTTTTACTTGGGGCAAATGTAAATATTGCATTATTACACAATTATAGATACATAGGTAACTTCATGGATGTTATGCGCAAAAATATGAATATATTTGTATTATAAAACAGCACTCTATTTCAAACGAATTTACTATATTTAAAATTAATGTCAATTATTTACATTGACATTAAATTTAAAATTGTGCGTACTTTTTGCAAATGAGAGATGATGGTAAACATCTTCACTTTTCACGTCAATTGTATTATATGAGAATTACCAAAGTTTTTGTAGATATCGAACAGAAGAAGGTTCATATTTTGCACCAACAGAACAAGGAGAGGAGGAGAATGGAAATTATACAATGCTTAAAGAATATCGATAATCCAAACGGGCACCCAAAAGACTACGACAATGATTATTGGTATTACTTAAGTAAAGCTCCATTAATTGTGCCATTCGCCATACCGATTTCAAAAAGGAAGAAATAATTTAAACTAAATGCATAATTTAATAAATTACCACCAGTAAATATAGTAGATTTTATTTTTAAATGAGATTATTAATTAAGTTATCACCTAATTTTCAAAACCAACTCTTTCTGTTTTTCTTGATGTCGCCTCGATTTCGAGTGGAGCTTGTGGAAAATTTCTGTTATATTTTTTTCGGGAAACAAGTTACTCAATATTCCCTCGAGAAGTACATAAATCAACCTACGGTTCAAAATTGGTCTTTGGAATAATTCAAATATAGACAGTAGGCCTTTGCGCGTCGTTTCTGATCCAATTATGTGTTTTAACTCATCTACAACAAGGAATATAAGTTTATAAGGAATCTAATTACTATACACTTTGAAATGCTCTACCTGTTAAGCAAGACAGTAATGCTATTTTTGCGGCCACTCTGGTTCGATACTTTGATCCCTCGTCGCGGTCTGGCTTTCTTTCAGCTTTCACTCCATTAGGCCAGAAAGATTGTCTAAAATAATACATTGAGATAATTTTATCGTAGTTGTAAAAAAACATATGTATATATACTTAAATACGTGTAAATAATGTGCAACATTTTTGGGACTTGTAATGAATGAGACATAATCCAAAATTCGTCTATTTACAATATCCCCAAACATTGTTCTGACTATTTGCCTCAGAATTGTTACAATACGTCTCCTAAGCCATTGATTTCTAGATTTCAAGTCAAATACCTCGTCAACCAATAATAACATAATGCGCAATGGAATGTTGTCATCACTCTAAAATATAATATATATACATGAATATGAAATATAAATAATACCTTAAATATTTACTTCAATATCTAGTGCTGCTCCAACCTTGCTGGCGGGTTGTTGTTGCTTTTGGGGAGTTTTTTGATGAAATACTTTCTCAACAACTTCATCGACTGTATGTATTAATTGTTCTGGCATGTTTTTAATGGTTTTCATGCCGGTTTTAATTGGATTAACTATTGTATCAATCTAAAATTAGAATTTAGAAAATAATAATCTCAAAAAAAAAAATATATTGTTGTACCGTATGAGAAATTGGACCACCAGAAGTAACTCGATCGTAGTCTCCTTGCTCGAGGAAAGTCATTAAAAGATCACGAAGACCATGATGCGTGTGCACTATATGAGATTGAGTGAGCTCCTGCATGTAAAGTCCTAACATTTTCATTCTTCTCTCCAGCACTGCTCTATCCATGTTATGGAATGTTTTCTTTCCAGGAAATGCAATTTTCGAAAGATCCGGATACTAAAATGTTAAAAAGAGGAATCAATCTTCATTCAAAATTGATTTGCAAATTCGTACTCTTTCTTTAATTTTAGTATGCAGGTCATGGAAATCGCTATAACGTCTATAAATATGCCATTCCTCAAGAAAACCAGTATCATATTGTCGACTAACGTGCGTTGCGTAAATACCAAATGTTTTTCCTTTTTCGCAGACAATTCCTGTTTCAATTATTTTAACGCAAAGTGCAAAATCTCCGGTTTTCAATAATTTTTCTGTCGTGCTTGGATCAATTGGATCAATCTTTTCAATGCCATTTAAATTTGAATCAGATATGTGCAATTCAGGTTTAGCCATGAAACATGTTACATCGCTAAGAGAACGCACGTGCTTGCTGCTACTTTTTTCCAGGCCTTCCACAGTCAAATAATTTTGTTTCTGGTGTAAATTTCCGTTGTTTGTACTTTTAGGCTCTTCTAAGGCAGCTACTTCTAAGTTATCTAAGCTACTTAAACTAATTGTGTCTTCATCGACAATCGTTTGCTGCAATAAATCTAATTCTTCTAATAACTTAATATACGATTTACTTTTCTTAAATTGCGGTAAAAATTCATCGCATACCTGCAAAAAAAAAATTAAAATTATATTCATGTAGAATTTGGCAAGCCATAGTTGTTACCTTCATTTTCTCATAAATAGCTTTCTGGACATCATCAAACCAAAGTTCGGATGGTGCTTCAGTCAAGTTTCTAATTCTAAAAAACAACTTGTGGATCAATGTTGCGCTAATATCAACTTTATGTTCGTCTTTATCTCCCAAATATTGTTCATAAATATTCATAGCGGTAGAACGAATATTTTCATAAACGCTATTAGAATTTTCGTTTAATCCCTTCATTTTATTAATCTGTATATCTGAAAGCTGCTGTTCAACAGACACCTTCCATCCTAAAAAAATCAAATAGTTATTATTTGTGTAAGCTGAACGAACTGAAACAAACCTTCAATATTTAAATAAAAAAATAAATAATCTTGCTTTGATAGACTAGAAGTATAATCTATGAAGTACGATAAAGCTACATTATTTTTTAATATAAAATCTAATGGCAGATCTATAGACTTGGCATCGTTTTCCAACGGATTAAAATCATAATAGTCACTGTAACTAATTAGATCTAAAACAATACAAACTGTCAAAACCATGTGTCTTTTAAAGTTTCCGAATACATTACTCTCATTGTTATCGATTTTGGACAGTCTGTTATCAATAATTTTAATCACATAAAACAAACTACTTAGTTGTTGTTTAATGGACAGATCGCTATCGCCTCCAGAATCTCTCGACCTCTGTAAATGCGATTGATTATCATACGAAAATGTTTGTTTTTCACTATTTTACCAGTAATTGTATTTCACTTGATACTAATTGTTTCGTGTACTTCAATTCATCACAGTTGTTGGTAGTACGTAGTGTTGATAAAAATATTTCACTTGGCAAAGATACTTCCCTTAAACACTAAATTTCACAATTGGAAAATAATCAAATCATTTGCTTACTTCAACTCACCAGCCATAAAATTGCTTGATTAATATAATCAGGATCCGAAAGCATTGAGAATAGTGGTAGAATAACACAATTTGAAAACAATTCTCGTAAAATGAATCTCAATGGTTTGCATTGAAAGTCCTTGTCAGGTAAGAGAATATACAGTAGCAATTCAACTAGTTCAGATAAAAATTCTGCAATAAAATTAAACATTATAATTATGATGAATTTAATAATTGCACATCACCTTTTTCCTTCTCATCATCTGTGCATATTAAATCTCTGCAAACAGCATTGTTTTCCATTGTACATTCCAAATCAAAGAAGTAATCTTCTAAAGAAGATTGTTTACCGGAATCGTTAACGTAAAACTTTGAAGTATGACCTACAGTATACTCTACATCTAAAAAACTGCAGATTGATAAAATTATAAACAGAAATGATAAAACAATATGAATAACCTTTTTTATCACTGTTTCTAGAACCAAAGTACCAAGCAATATCAGTCTCGCTCTTGTTCCTTTTGTGTGTACGTTTCGGAGAGATCCTAGTCTCTCTGCGCGGAGAATTCCTTGGCGATTTCGGTCGTTCTTCCTGTTTCATTTTGGCACGCGCCTGTTTGAATAATTTTAAATGCGACGCTGCATCGTCAACCAGTCTCGTTGTCAAATAGGGTATCCAATCGACTTCCTTTACCCTAGATACACGCAATTAATTTTAATATTTACAAAAATTAACGTCTTATCAATTTTTAATTTTACCGATTTGATATATTTATAGCTAACTTTTGTGCACTCTTCCTGACTGATTTCTGAGGAAGGTCTTCATTAGTAGATATCAAATTGTACCAGGGCGAAACATAATCCCTGATCACATATCCCAAAATCTCTTGCAATGAGGTATCTATTAATTCGCTACCAGTAACTCTGTGATCAGAATTATGGAGTTTATTTGGCGTGAGAGACTTCTGCACAACCTGCATAGAAATGCAATTATTATTTTTTTATATTTTGATCTTATAAAATATGTTACCTGCTGAAGACCTCCATCTGAAACATTACTCTCTGATAATGGATTTCCAGAGTAGTTTCTGTAATATGAATCTACATTGCCCTTTTGTATATATAACAATGATAATAGGCTAAAAAAAACATTAGTATTAAATTATTTGTTTTAATATATTTTTTTTTAATTTATGAACAAAAAACTAACAAATTAGTACATATAATTAGTGAATTTTGATTTTATTTAAATAAAACATTGCAATTCTATACCAAATCAAAATTAATATTTACAGTAAGTATTAGTTAGTAACTAATTTTGTATAGATCATTGTTTTTTTTTTGTTTTCTAACAAAACTTTGATGCAAACTTACCCAATAAGGAATGTACTAAATGTTATGAATAGTGTAACTGACCAGCCAATTCCAAAACTTGTAAATACAAGAATGACAATAAGTATACACCACCATAAAGATTTGCTGTCCATTTCTGATAGCAGTACATGAAAAAAAAAAGAGGAGAAAACCATATAAATAAATACATTATTCAGTCTGACATATATTTGCAAATATATACTATGTTATATTATAGCCAACTCACTTGAATTTCAAACTGTGCATCTAGTTGTGTTATCAATTTAAGTATGAGAGTATATAATTTTTAGAACTACGAAAATATCACATGATTATTTAATGTATACGTTCAATATTTTTATCATTCTGCTATGCTGTTTATACACATACACACATAAATAAAAATAATTTGATAAACGTCACTACAGATAGGTGGTTTAAGGTTATATTTACAGTTGTCAAAGTTGTCAGGCACTTTCCAACATCATCCAGAAGATGTCGCAGTATGCATGAAGTATACTTTGAAAAATATGAAATTTGAAAGTATTGAAATAATATATAATGGTCGCTTGTATCACGAAAATCTGATACGAAAGGTCGTTGGTTCAATTCCAAAAAATCAACAAAAAATTGTGGTGGCTGTTAAACCCGAAAGGGGTAGAAATAAGGCCCGAGAGATTTATCAATATATTATCTAGTTTATTATTATAAGTATAACATGATAGTATAATTTTTAATTACGTTATTTCTAGTCATTATGAGACATTCTAGTGTGATTATTATATTCTAACATTAATTAAATTAATCCATTATATAAGAAAATACTAAAAATCTAATTTTAAGATTATATTTATTACATATAATTCTACTAGAATTAAACAAAATTATTTGTGCGATTTGATAATATTAATAGAAATTTAAATTTGTATAGTTATTAACTTCATCGTACCTTCGCACACCTTAATTCTAAATTAATATTAAAATCCACCTCTAATATTATCATACCGAGGCCCTCTCCTAACCAACAGCACAGAGTCGACTACCATGTCTCCTCTTGTATTACTCCCATATCGCATACTACTCCACACTTAACATTAAGAATTATGTCATGTTATAGTTGAATTACGAATGTTGTTCTTATATAACTCTCGTAGCGTTTTGTACTTTTGGTTTCCTGAATACTTTGGCTATAACTAGACCTTCTGTATTGATACCACACCAAATAAAGAATAAGCAACAAATAAAAATGAAAATATAAAGACAAAATATTGCCATTATGGCTAACTGATGGCGTCATTCTGATGAAGAATCCGAGACGGATATAGTCGTCGACAGCTTGCTTTTCTGTATTCTCTGCTTCGTGTCTTCTTCCGACGACTCCGTAGATTCTCTGATCTCTTTTGTATCCGTTCGTTTAAGCTTTTTCTTCGCGACACGCTTTTCCGATCTTTTGCAGCTTGGTTTTTCTTTAGCGATTTGCATTTTCCTGACTTTATGGTTTAGCTTATTGCTTGCATGAGAGCTCGCAGTCGAATAGCCCGTATCCTTCCTACAATACGATTTACTAACAACGATTTGAATTATTTTTAATACCTTTAATTACTTACTTTCCCTTTTTGGTCGTCTTTCTTTCTACCGAATATGCATCGCTGTCACTCTCATTACTTTCACTCTCTTCTATATAGCGTTTTTCGGGTTTCCTTCTACTTCTGTCTCTCTTTCTGTATGTATCTTCATCGAAGAGAGCCGGTTTCGATATTATAGATATGTTTGTCAATTCGAAATCCTTTGATTTCTTCTTTTTAGGCTTGTGGTTTTCACTGTACACGACGTATAAACGGTACAGTTGTAATAGTATTACCAAAGTATTTTTGCAGGTGAAGAACACGTTCATATATGATATAATATTGAAATGGGTTATAATCAGTAGACGAAACACAAGGAATGGAGCATCTTGTAGCGTTATGTTCAAAGCTATTCCCCAAACATCGATACTACAGCAACAGCTCGTTGCACTAAAAATGTTTAAATTTGTAATTAAACTTAACCATTCCAATAACTCTACATACTTCTTCGATGCGGTTTTCGTTGCACTTAATCGTGATTTTCTTGCCTTTGTGGCTGTAAGAACTACTGTAAATTGCATAAGACTCCACGACCTAAAATTAATATATATATATATATATTATTAATTAAAACTAGATTAAATGACCTTACCAAATAGCTAATGTTAGTAAAACTAGAATTGGCTCAGCCGCGATTTTATCATCTTTGAAGGAATCGAAGAATTCAATAATATCAGCTGCTGTACCTATAAATATCATCATTAATTATCAAATACATTTAGGTTTCAAAAATTATCTTTACATATTATGTTGTGAATAAAATTAATTTTATAATTACCTATATATACTAATAATAATTGACTAAGTTGATCTCTTGTAAGATCTCCCTTTGGTAGCATCCATCTTCCAATGATCAGAATCAACATCAAAAATTGTTCTATTAACGTAATCCAGGTTTCAGTGCTTAGGGAAATATCAGGTAGTTTTATTTCCACCTAAATAAAATAAAGTAGTTGACATAGAAAATCATAGTTTCGTTGAAATAGTACCCCAATTAAATTGTTCAATTCCTTCAGGTTACCGGTTGACGTTATATTGAAAGTTTCCTCTTTTATTCTCAAACGTCTGTCGACTTTGTCCAGCTCCAATAACCATATCGCCGGTACAATGCTGGCCAAATACAGAAATACCGAAGGGCAGAACCTACATGAAAGAATACATTTAAATATAGATCGGTGAATCATTTGGTCTGGATATATTCCGAACGTAATAGAGTTTGACCATCAATCAACCAATAAATGAATGTGAATATCATTTCCTATCGCTTATAGATCCACTTTAGATGTGTTGCCTGACCTTGTTGAAAGTGAGAATTAATCTGGTTTAGTAGTCCCGTGTCATCATTTTCCCTTTTTATTTGTAAATAGGTCAATGCATTAGGGAGCGCAAAAGGAAATGGACTGACAAATCTACACCTAACAAGTTACGAGTGCAGTCTAATTTTATAACCGCACTTCGCATTCCCCTATTACTTGTATTATTACCACTGGATACTTTTATGCTCCCAATAATACGGCATGGTCTCACTCACTAATTGGATACAATAAATAAATTTAGCATAAATATCTGCTATATTGTGGAAAAAATCTAATTATAATTTACAATCTTTAAAGTAATATTTAAATTATATTTTTTTTTCAGTAGCTACTTTATAATATACATTGAATAAATGCTAATGTAGATTTATAATTATAAGTAAAATTTTCTTACCATTTCCACTCTTGGTTTTCTTTGATGGTCAATGTGAAAACTGCTTCAAAGAACAGCAACAAAATTGGCGAACTTAGGTACCAATAAAACGAATTGCTTTTGAATATTGTAACTTGCCAAATAGCCAGAAATCCATGAGCTGCAAACACTAGTCTTGTGATGATAGCCTTAATCGTGGCAACTAATTTGGCCATATCTATTTTTTTGTAACTCTTAAATTTTTCACTCGAATTTATCCCTTTCGCGAAAGGCTTATTTTCAAACTGAACCCTTCAAAACGCGACGCGCAACTTTTTCCCCTCTGCTGGCGGGATTTTGCGCTTTATACGCTCAATTCTCAGAATCACAGCTCGATCGATATAAATTAATATAAAACTGTCCATTGAGAAATGATGATGAATGTGAATCGAATAAATACGTTTGGATAGTTTATTCAAAAACAAATAGATATATACAAATTGTCTAATGTAACGGGTTAATGATGGTACTCTTGTGTTTCAGCTACAGGATGATGCTCGGAATGACCAGAGTACGATACTTGGGCGTTGAATCCATTATGATGATCGGCGAAGTATTCAACTTTGCGGATGATGCCGTCCGGTTGAACGACGGTGTATTCTCCCTTGACTTTGTCTCCGTCGCGGATTTCCTCTTGGGTTTTGTGATCACCGGTGTGGTCATCTTTAACACCGTACTTGAAAACATATTTAGGATGAGCGTCCGGATAATGTTCTTCATGATCATCGTGATGGTGATGTTCATGGTCAGCTATGATCGGAGTATCGTGACGTTCAACGCTTGCATAAGATGAAGCATGTTCAGTTGGAATGGCAGCAACAAAAGCCACGACAGCTCCTAAAATCAAAATCTGCAAAAATAACAATTAGTGATATTAAATTAAACAATTTGTATTATATATTTTTACCTGAGAGAACATTTTTTAAGTGTGAATGCGAATTGAGGTTGAGAACTCAAGTGTTTTTAATAATTGAACTTACCCATTTATATACTCTTGTTATTCTGGTGGGGAATGGTGGAATTTTAAGGAATCCTATGTTAATTAAAATTAAAAAGTTAAAAGGAAACGTGCACAAAACGAATAATTAAAATTTCATAATGAATAAACTACAAGTTTACTACATACACTTTTTTTATATAATTCTTGTACGTGCTTTACTTTCTTAGATTTCGAATAATATGCAATTTTTGCGCTCAGATTGTAACCATTTTTTAGTTAAATAATAATTTGCCGATTTAGATCTTCTAAGATTAATCTTGAAAAAAGACATTATTAACATAATCTTGACAGCATTAAACATACAAACAAAAATATTAAAAGACGTAAGATAGCTGTTAAATAAAGACAGTAGGATATAAAATTTGCAATGTTTTAGTTAAATTTCCAATAATTGAAATGTCTCAAATTTTAATATTTTATTAATGTTATGTAAGTAAAGGAAATTGCAATCAGGTAGTTTCCTGCGGGAGATGTTACTGTAACGTTACAGTAAATGGTACGTTTTTTTTTAGTGCCGGTCCTGATTTCGAGATAACTTGTCTGATGAACTACAAATGAGAGCATAGACCTAACGCAATTATAAATTATTAAGAATTCTTGCAGGAAGTTTAATTAATATAGCTACATGCACGCTATGCAATATGCAGATAGAAACATTCATTAAGCAGAACGCATGACCCCAATTGGTTGCATTTAACACCAATATATACTACATACTAAATTTAAGGAAGTCAATCATAATTTAGAATATGTTCTACTAGAGTCAAACTCGTTTATAGCGTCATTTACGAAACCGCGTTTCTTCTGACGTTGTAACCTAGTAACGTTTAATAGAAACTGTTTTTGCGTAATTTTGAGCTGTTGCTTACTATAGTTATATCCCATACCACTTATTTTTATAATACTAATAATATCTTATTTTTTTTGTTTATAAGTAATTTAAAGTTAAATCCTTTGCAGCAGATCAATTTGCTTTTATGGTGATTTGTTATTGCAAAATTAGATGAAAAATGTAAAAGTTTAAAAATATATATTTTTATTAATCAAATAAAAAAAAGTAAAAGTGCTAACAACATGTTGATTTTAATAAAAAACGATAAACTATGATTGAGTAATCAATGATGATAATACGCTGGAGCAGCTGGTACGACGACTTTCTTGACTTCTGGATGAGGTTGTCCAGAGTAAGAGACTTCGGCGTTGAATCCATTGTGATGATCAGCAGAATATTGCACCTTGCGTACAGTTCCGTCGGGTTGGGCAACGGTGTATTCACCCTTGACTTTGTCTCCATCGCGAACTTCTTCTTGGGTCTTATGGTCACCGGTGTGGTGATCTTGGACGCCGTATTTGAATTCGTATTTTGGATGATGGTCAGGGTAGACCTCTTCGTGTTGATCATCGTGGTGGTTGGCCGAAGCCGCATGGTAAGCTACCGGAGATCCGTGATGCTGAACGCTAGCATACGAAGATGCGTGTTCAACAGGGATAGCGGAAACGCAAGCCAAGACGGCGAGGGAAGCTACGATCTGTAAATAAAATTTAAAAAAAAATATGTATAGATTAAATAATTGAAGTAATTGAAATTATGCAGGTAACAACAACTTGAAGAGGAAAGTATAGAGTCTTAATTACCTTGATCATGGTTGTTTTTTGGTTTAGTTGCTGGAGCTGGAATAATTTCATTCGGTACGGCGGATCGCTTTTATACTCGATGTCGATACTCACCCAATTAGGTGGGATTGCCAAATAAATTATTACTTTAACTTAAATCTTGTTTAAGCAATTTCCTCTATCTCGTAATTATATAAGCTTGTATATGTTTGTGACCACGGGAGATGCAATTATGTTTTCTCATAAAAAAACAATCATTAAGCTAGATTTTGGGTTTGCTCTTAAATCAAATTAGAAAGTCTTTCTTTGCCTCAGATTTTCATAAGCAATTATTTTAATTCACCTAAACACAACTAATAAATAAGTACTTACATTTATTATTATTCATTGCAAAAAACGCATTAAATATCGTAAACTAATTTCTATATTACGAAATTTATTTTTTAAATAAATATATTAATACATATGAATAAAATAATTACAATAAAAGAAAAAGTAATATTATATTATACTTATAAATATTGGTCTTTCTCTGTAATAATAAAAATAGTATTTATTTCTATTATTATATATATTCAAAATCCTGTCTATCAAAATCCCGATGTTTGAAATCCCGACGTGTATCTGAAATCCCGACGTTCTAAAATCCCGACTGTATACAAATCCCGACTGTATCGAAATCTCGACTACATCAATCCACAATCAATATCTAACTCATATCGAAACCGACGTTCAAAATCCCGATGTATCGAAATCCCGACTACCATTAAATCCCGACAATCAAAATCCCGACTATATCGAAATCCCGACAGTGTCTTTTATTATTATAAATTTCTACAATAACATTTTTATGGTAGTCGGGATTTCGATATAATCGGGATGTCGATATAGTCGAGATTTTGACATAGTCGGGATTTCAAGCGTCGGGATTTTAATATAGACCCCATACAAACATATTCGATAATCATGGAATATTCTTCACTAATTTTTTTTTTATTAATTTTAAAGAGAAATACTAATTTTGAACTATTCCAAAGGGCTATTAAGTTAATAGTTTTTTTTTAATAATTTTATTATTCTTTTTGCTAAAATTGGAAAGTACTTATTAAATTAAATATTTGAATGAGAGGAAGAATAAAAATAAACATAAAATTTAATTTTTAATATCGAACAGTCTATAAAGGTATTAATTAGATAGCCCCACCTGCTTCTCTTTTTTCGTCTGATTGGTTCCGCTCATATATAAATATTGACCGAAGCAAGCACAATTATTCAGTTCAGTTTGAATATCATTAGCAACATGTTCATCAAAGTATGTAAATAACAGTAACAAATGTAAGAACAAATCTAATTGTGAGTTATTTTCGTAGATTGTAACGATCGTCGCAACCCTTGCGGTAGTAGCTGCCAATCCAATTGAGCACGCTAATTCCTATGCAAGTGTGCAGCATCATCAAGGATCTCATGTGCACAGTGCTCCAGCTGTTCTCTTGAATCAACAACAACACCACGAAGAAGTCTATCCAGACGCTCACCCGAAATACGAATTCAAATACGGAGTTGAAGATCATCACACCGGAGACCAAAAGTCTCAGATGGAAGTCAGAGATGGCGACGTAGTTAAAGGAGAATATTCGGTCGTTCAGCCAGATGGTACCATCCGCAAAGTGCAATACTCTGCTGATCATCACAACGGATTCAACGCCGAAGTTTCTTACTCCGGTCACGCAACTTATCCTCAACAAAACAAACAAGTAATTGCTGCGGCTGCGGCTCCAGTTTATCACCATTAAAATAATATACTCGTGTTTGTTATCATCAATAAAAAATATATTTTTCTAATATAAATTACACATTATTTGTACGAAATTAAAGTTTCTCTACAGAAAGAACCAATAACATCAAGGATATTTAGCAGAATATATATATAATCAGCTAAGTCTCGAAATCTGAAATTATATTTATAAGGAAGTCGTGAGCGTTTTCCTTTTCACCGATAGTACGCAAATACTCTGCAAGATTACTTTCGGTGGTGTCGGTTGTTAAACAGTACAACAAAGATGTATTTTTCATGAGTTCCTCGGCATGTTTCAGATTCCGCTTGGCATCGGCTTCATTTGTTTTCAGTATTTCATTGCATTCTTTAATCTGTTGGACGTAACTTAATACGTAATGCAACATTTGATGTGACACATTTTCTAATTCCTTATCATTTTCTACGGTAATCAATTTGGGCTTCCTTCGCCTGTTTGGGACCTTTCTGCGGTTATGTGTCGTCTTAGGAATTTTCATCTTTGGTTGTTTCGTTACTTGGTGTATTTTCTCTAACTTTTTGGCAACAGCATTGTATCTAGGTTTCTCGTGCATTCCATCCACTGGCCATTTCTTAAAATCGTTCGTGGATAGAGGATCTGGTGGACTGAATACTGCTCCAGTAGCTCTTGACGATCGTCTCGCGTTAGCCTTAAGGAAAAAATATTAATATTTATTTATTAGAAGAAAAATTGAATCATACCATATAATATTCTTTTTTGCAGTAAACGTTGTTCTCGAAGTAATCGTCCATTGACATTTTTTCAGCTAGTTCGTAGGATATTTTTTGCAACTGGACTTGTCGTTTAGGATTTCTTCTCGGCGCTGGATACACTTTAGACTCGTCCTTCTTTTCGAACTTCTTGTATTCCCGTACGAATATCACATCGTCGTCGTTGTCCTCATGGTTTCCGTAGTTTTTCGTGTTGGGTTTCCTATTTCTTTTAAGAAATGGTGGTACTGGAAACGGTGGTTGAGTGGAAGAAGCCGCGCTGGTGGGTTTGTCTATGGTGAGACAGCTTTGGTATTCGCTGGGAATCATAAGGGCATTAATATCTATAAACTCAGGGCTATCTGATTCGTCTTTAGATAAGTAATGAATGCCATCCTCAATTTTACTGCGATCCATGAACGGAAAATCAATTGGATTGTTGCTGCTGAAAAATGGGTAGTTTTCAATGTTATCAGAGAAACAGCATTCCCGGTTGTGACTGTGCTGTTCGGGGTTATTGGCTGGGAGCAAGTTTGGATCGTGCACGTAGACTGTTAAATTCGAGTAATCCCGATTGAAATAATTATATTGGACAAAGTTATTATCGAATACGTAAGGCTGCTGCTGTGAATGTGGTTCGACATTTTCAAGATCATTTTGATTCGGTTGTACTGATGTTATGGTGATCGTTTGAAAGGGCAAGTAGGCTGGATTCTCCAATTCACCTTCGCCACCAACAGGATAATTCGATTTCGCCTCTTGACAGCTCTCGTTCGTGTTCAACCTGTGACTATCCTCGGTAAACGTGAATGTAGTATTACCAATAAGTATCATGTTCACGTTATCCCCTTCCATATTATCCTACAATAAACAAGTCAAATAATGTGCCTAATCTTTCCCATGCACTTTATCGCATTATATTCCAAGATACGTAACTGCAATGTTTATATAAACAACTCAAGATAACGGCGGCTTTAAACAATTCACTGCCGATAATTTTACAACGAATGTAATGATTATTATACTATTTTAAATATACGTACACAATGGAATGTCACTATGATCAAACTATTCGTTATCACAATAACATATGAAAAGAAAATATTAATCACCATGGATATATTTGTAAATAATGGAATGGGCTAGCTATTGTTTCTTTGTCTTTGTTTGTAAACTGGTGAGAACACCTTAATGTTCTAATCCTTGGAATTGGATATTTCATTCTAACATATTTTCTATACAAATATACAATAGTCAATTGCTTAGACATAACTACAACTAAAATAAATATTAACTGCATAAAAATATAAGATTAATATGACATTATATAGATTAGTTTAAATTCGTTTAAAAAATATAATCCATCAAAGCAATTTAATTTTTAATTATGATATATTCATTATTCATTTTGATTCAACATGCAATTAGTAAATTAACAACTTATTAGAAGATCCAGTCGTGTATAAACAAAAACCTACTTCAGAAGCAAAAAAACTTGACTGGATAATTACAACCATATATTTATTTTAATTAACTTACACAGTGTTTGCTCTATTATAAGTGTAATACATAATAATGAAATCCGACACGATTTTAAACATAAAACCATTGAATAGTTCAAAATAATCCATTGTAACCACTTGTCAGATATGACGTTGCACATGGAACTGATTCCATAGATTGCTAGATTTGTAAATACAAGAACAAATTACAGTTGAAAAGATTCCCATCGTTATTACAATATCTTTTTAAATTACACAAAGCGCGACATGCACGATTATTACTGGAATCTAAGTCATTCATAACTAAACCTACTAATTGTACACCGACTACAAAAAGTACTGATTCTAGATCAAAAATTATCCAGAACAAGACTTTTGGACAATCCACGAATCTACACATATTAGTCACGTAATAAATGTCCAAAACCAATAAGTTTTAATGCATTCAAATAACATTGTCCTACATTATTATAACAATATGGATTACTCAGTTTATAACAATTTAAAACTTACCGTTCTAAGAGAAACATTGAGAATAAGATATTTGTGTACGAAGTTTTATAGCTTTTGTTTTTATTTTATGGTTATGTCACATGAAAGTTATTTTATTTTAAATTTAGTTATTTCCAATTTTCATTTCAATTACAAATACTTAATTTTTCAATTAATATTTAATTAATTTAAGAAATGTTCTTAATTTGGAGATTTTAAGTTAAGAATTGATATACTTTTTCACTTAATACGGCACTGCCGTTATTTGAAAGCAAAAATTCAAATATGCGTAGATCTCTTAATTCGATGTTCAACTTTTTTTCAAGGATTGTATTGATAGTTGCTAAGAAACGTACTGAATAAATTTGTTTCGTTATCTTTGGTCGCGCATTCTGACGAAGTGTTGAGTCTATAATTTAACAATAACCACAGATGGTAAATATATATTTTTCATTAAGTTTGATTAATAATTAGCATATTGTATTGTTTTATGAAGGAATGTAAGTAGATTCTGATTATATATACATTATTTATGAAATATCTTTTGCTTACACATAGGTTTTGATTCACTTTTGTGTTAGTAATTGATTGCTTAAACATTTATGACAAAGTTTAATTATCAGGAATTAATTATTTATATTCTCATTGATAATTATAATCAATTTATCTTGTTTCGTCGATTTTTGATATATTGTTTATATTTGAGAATATTGTTTAAAAACACAGAATTCTTTATTTAATGATATATACATTGGAATCTCGCATAACGAGCATTTCGCTTAACGAGCAAAATGAATTGCTTAACGAGCGATGTTTCGCAAAACGAGTGACGATGAGAAGTCCCGGATTGCGAGCCTGCTACATCATTTTTAAAACTTGTGTACACGTATTATGTCACATAATTTATGTGTATTTTATATAAACAAATATTAAAAGTATAAAGAGACCTCCACCAAGTCCCCAAATTGATACAAGTAATATAAACAAATAGAAACTCACTTCACTATATGAGTTTTTTTAATATACGAGTAAAAAACCGGAAATTTTGGAACGGATTAAACTCGTTAAGTGAGGTTCCACTGTATATATATATTGTTTAAATAGTGGTTGCTAAAGAATGTACAATTTTTATTTTCTTATAATCGTCGATTTCAAGCCCTACTTGCCCTTTCAAACGATCACCATAACATCAGTACAACCGAATCAAAATGATCTTGAAAATGTCGAACCACATTCACAGCAGCAGCCTTACGTATTCGATAATAACTTTGTCCAATATAATTATTTCAAGCCCTTTTTTTGTGTAATTCGTATATGATTTAATCAGTACATTGACAATATTATTACTTTACAAATCTTTATAAGACTTGGTCAAGATCTGCACAAAAAATATTAAATATGTTAATACTTTATGTAATAATTATGAAAGACTGGTCAGAAAAGCTGTAATATATTTATAATTATTATCATGTTTTACCGTTGACAGGTTGTTATTGTAAAATAATGTTGTCGCTAAATAAACGCAATTTTATGTGTGATCATGGAAAATGAGATGTTGGCCAATTTTCTAAATATATCACCAGGTGTAATTTCATAAGGACCCAAACGCGTGGCTTAGCTCGGCGGAGCGAAATAAATGCCCGATTACAATTTATTTAAGGAAGAAACGCGTGGAAACAATATTTCCAAGAAAGGGTATCATATGGATATGACCATATACAGCAAATGTTGGATCGTGGAGAAAAGTTGGCGTCAATGATTTGTCGCTCTGTCATTAAAGACCATCCGAGTTAGTCAGCTAATGCTAAATGTATTTATAGGCAAAACAGCATGGCTGGCGATTAGCCATGACATTGTCCACAAAACGTGAAAAATCGTTTCCGCCAAACGCATCTTACGCAATCCAAGTTCACAAACGCGCTCAGTCCACAGCGCGCTCCCCGTTTATAGCGAGATTTAATTCGATGCGCGATAATTAAAACGTATGTATTTACGATGTTTTCAGGAATTTCAGACCCCGGCAAGGTCAAGCGTGGAATATACACATCGTCGCAACCGGATGAACGATCAAACTGAATTTTTATATACCGACATAATGAGGAAGAATAAAAATATATACATATAATCACATAAATATTTTTTTCTTCTGAAGCTGAAAATATGTTCAACAAAGCTATTGGTTTGAATGAAACAAACAGAATGCAGATTGCCAAGGTTTTCGCTACATTTAGTAGAGATCAAAGATATGTTATTTTAGAAGGTTCTCTGCGAAGGCGTCGCGAAAATTAAAAAGAACAACGTTTATTTTTCCTGCTGGAAGTGAAATATCGAGGAACGGATATGCATCTAAAAATACGTGCGGTTTGCTAATTAAAGAATATCGAAGCATTTTTATTGCACTATATTTATATCATTGACTAATACTGTTACTATACCAGCACATCTTGACGCAAATGTTAGTTTGTATTATTTGATCTCTAATGCTTACATAGTGACTAATTTGTTTATTGCATGCTATAGAGAAGTAGTTTAAATAATCGATTTGTGAATGGAATAGGTGAATGTGAACGAATAAATGTAAAGGACTTCGATTGAGTGCCAAATTATCCACGTGTGGAATCACTGGATCACTTTATTTTTATTTCAGAGTTCTATTTATTTGATCCAGGCGCAGTTGGTAAACAAATAAAATGTTAGGATAGTGATAGTTCAGACAAAATACAATTACAATTAGTGTCTGCTATTTTTTTTTTATTTCATTTCATTTTCTACAAACTAAGTTTTAAATAATCTCTTTATGAGAATTAATTAAGCATTAAATGATAACATTGTTATAACATTACACATTTGATAAATTTAAACTGATAAATATATTAATTTGTATCGTCCTTTTTATTCACCACTATTCTATAATAAAAACATTCAGTAAATGATCTGGCGGTTGACAAGATTTTAATTGGACTTCACCCATTGGCAATTATCCTTTTCTTATTGGTTATTTATTGAATCTTAATGGTAGATCCAGTAGTTTTTGTCGCTTCAGTCGCTGTGTTGTTAGACTATTGTCCAGAAAATTGACAGCTAGTATGTTTGGATGTCGGTCTAGTCTATTTTGGTATCGGCTACTGTTTTTCGTAATTGTTTCCTCTAATTCTCCGGTTCGTAATACACCATGGAGCACCAATGATCCTCCTTAGGTTCTTCTTTGTATGGTCGCAATATTAGATCTGTTGCTGACTCCCCATAGCTGTATTCCGTATTCCTAGACAGGTTTCAAAATTACTTTATAGATCAGCAACTTGTTTTCATTCGAAATTGGCAAGTCTTTCCGTAATAGCCAGTAGAGTTTCCTGAACTTAATTTTAGTTGTTCTCTTTTTGCTTGGATGTGATTCTTCCAGGTCAATCTTCTATCTAAAATCTAGATTCTAGACGCATACGCAGATATTTAACTTTATTTGCCGCCGTCACTGGTGGGCAGGAATCCTTTCTCACGATGAAGGTGACATGTACTGATTTTGATTCATTGACTTTCATTCTCCATTTTTGTAGCCATTCCTGTATAAGGTTCAGGTTTACTTGCAGGTGATGTAATAAATTTTTAATAATTTTCATCTAAATTATCTTAAGATCGACAATTCCACTTAATAATGATCGTGATCGACTTTCCTTCGTAAGAAGTAATCGGATCTACATGATCTTTTGAAATTAAGTTATATAAATAATTGTATAAATTAATAACGAGATTCTTAATTAAATTTAGACTTATTCGACTTATTAACGAAAAGTATTTGAGAGATTTATCAACCTTTTGAAAAGTCTATGAATACTTTGTTGATAAATTAGGAATACAAATAATCATTAACCAATGTTTAGTCTGCAATTATCTAAATTAAGACTACATTTAAATTATAGTGCAGTCGTAAAGAATGATGTACAAAAGTAATGCATAACATAAAAATGCGTATTAACCAAGTGCAAATGCGCTCGTAACTTACGACCGAAGTAGAAAAAAAAATGATCTAGGAATTTTACATTCATGTTCGTGTAATGTACGCATTCGAGCGCGCTTTATTTTCCTCATATATTTTTTTTTCTACTCTCTAGTTCGACCAGACATTTATATCGTCTTCAATTTGTTTTTATTTTCGTTGGCAAAGTACGTTCTGGCGTCGACACCTGTCCGCCGTACGTCATTGCCTGAATTTCTGTTACATTTTTCGGCCATTAGTAATTTTTACAAATTACAGGGCAAAAAGTCGTTTTCAAAAAAAAAAGAAAAGAAAATTTTTTCCCGTTACAATTAATTTTAATTGCTTACTCACTACAGATCTGCATCTAATTTACATTCCCCAAAACAAAATAGATTTAGCTGTTTTCTATATTTTTTTTCTCCTTTGAAATTTCAATTTAAATTCTGAGTAAATCTGAGGATGTCCTGAAAAAAAAAATGATGAATAACAAGGCGAAAATTGTTTTCAGTGAGATCAGCGTTATGGTTGTTTGGAAGAGAATGGAAAATTAGTCAGAAACGGTGACGTCGGAGTGAAGCGACGCTTGGCGTCGGTCAGTTATCTATATATTTCGGGCATACCGAGACTGCCGATATAAACCGCGCCGTCGACGCCGCATCACCTTATTTTTAAACAGGCCCAAGTACATTCAATACATATTCATCAATTTTGGAGCAGTTTTTCGAAAATCGTTGTTCTCGTTAGTGATTTTTTACCCTGCAAGTGATAATAATCTTACAAAATGCAAGCGGAGTGTGTTGAACGTGTCTTCATGGTAAGTTAAACAAAACAATTGTCTTATTAGCACTAGCAAATTTAATCCTGTTTTTATTACATTTATTTCTTATATAATTATTTATTTATATTGTTATTATTATTAATTACAACAATGAGAATTACAACAATCAATCACTTAAATTATTAGCTAACTAATTAATATCATCAAGTAATTAAAATGATTTAAATAATAGACAAGAAATGCAATACATTATTGAAACGGAATGCATTTATAATTCCATTTTTATTGTTCATCCTTGATGATGTTTGCATTGGAAGATGCACCGAACGAAAGTATATAGAAATGAAAAGCACTTGTACTTGCTCCAAATATTTTCGCGCATAAAAATATCAGACATATTCGACGGAAAAACGTACGATGATGCCACAAGAGTTTATATTCGACCATGTATCCAAAATTCCATAGCATCTCAATTATTTAATATTTATCACAGTAAACATTGTCTTATATTTTATTTTTTCGAACAAACTTCATATGCAACATTCTACTTTTTTTTATTCTTCTTCATCTACTCTTGAGCTTCATCGAGAATTCTATTTTTGGACGCTGCATTAAATATGAAATGGCACGAAATACATTTACAGTTGAAGAAGATACAAAGTGTTCCCGATTTATATTTATTGGCGGGATTACTTTCTACAAATTTTTAGAACGGACCTCGGTCCGACAGGCGCCACTATCGGAATGTTTAGTATAATATTTATAGGTTTTATAAATATACGCAGGACACACATTATTTTGTATTTATAAAGGCCTCGGTCAAAGCCCGAACTAAGGTCTCCTATCAAAGAACAACATTATTTGTCATCTTCTCATTGACGATGTGAAATATGGATTTTGAACTTCACAAGGAATTACTTAATCCTTATCCTTATTTGTATATTACCTATTGAATTCCATATTAAATTAGTAATTATACTTATCTACATAATTGTAATTTTTGTAAAATTAAAACTTTGATAAAATTACATTTATGATAATTCAATTAATTGATACAAAGAAATATTAATATTTACCGGGCAGAAATTATATATTTTTGTTATTCTATTAAGTTTTTTTTAATATCTATAGTTTATTGTTGCAATAAATATTATTATAGAAAATTGTTAAACATGGTGAAAATACTTGAAATAAAAAATATTATATTTTCAATTTAATTATATATATTTCAAATGCATCAATAACAATAATAAATAACAATAAACAAAGAAAGTATAAATTATAAATCGAATACTTAAAAATTATACAAATATTTCAATATTTTTGTTTCTACAGCAACACAATACTAAGTTTTTTTTATTAAATGTTTGTTTTTTTAAATACAAGTCTAGGAAAATATTCTAAAATCATAATATTTATACCGTTGTTTTAAGTAGAGTTTCGGGAAAAACCTTCCGGAGACCTAATATTTATTAGGTCTCGATTTTTTATTTTATGTCTTGATATTGCGGACGAACGAAAATAGCTATATCCTGACCCTACTATCAGCATTCTTTCACCAATTACTACTGCCTCTTGAGATATTTATAAATCGCCATTCTTAAAAGATATTTATAAATTCGCAAATTCCCATTATTCTCACCAAAACAAATTCCAGATTTATTGATACGAAATACACTTTGAGCGATATTGAAATACTTTTCATCGCAAAAAGCGAATTAGGATGTACGCCAAATTTGTTGTTTAGCTTAAATGATGTGTAATGGAAGTTTGGATGTTTACAAGTGTAAATGGATTTTTTTCTCTTTAAGCGTCCATTTTTTCCGTCCATTATATTTTTGGAATTATTTACTTTAGTTTTTTTTTTATGCTAATTTGCACAATGTGCTATTGTTTATGAAACATAAATAATTACATCGTACGCGATCAGGAAGAGAGTTAATACCAATTAATTTTATGCTCGTATTGCGGTTCAACGTTTGACACTTCTTGTTGTTGACTGTAGTATTGGGGCTGAACGTTTTGTTGCTGTTGGTGGATGAAATTTAAGTAGTTCGGTTGAATGTATTCGATGTGTCTGTGATCATTGCTGTAGCTATGCTGACGCCTCAGATTCTTCCCTTCATTTGAAGCAAAAATCGGCTGGGCAATGGCTTGCACTTGCAAATTAATTGGAATATGATCGTCGTGCAATTCATGATTGTTAACATGATTTTCTTGATGAATCTGCGAGGCGTAATTGGCATTATTCAAAATTTCTTGATGACCGACATCTGGATGATCAATTCCTTCACCCGATTTAGTGACAACAGCTTGGAATCCACTGTGTTTGTCCACATAATAAGTAACAGTTCGCACAATACCGTCTGGGCCCAAAACGCTGTATTCCCCTCTTACAACATCGCCGGTCCTTTCCTCTTTGTGCGACTTAAAATCGCCGTTCTTTTGATCTTCAACGCCGTACGAGTATTTGTAATTGATTGGGGCCTAAACCAGAATCACAAATCAATTAAAATTAATCATAAAATCAATTATATAAACGTCACTTACGTAATAATCATGCAGTTCATCGTGTCCGTTGTTCTCAAAGTCCTGCTGATGGAAACCAATAGTTTTACTATCAATTAATACAAAAACCACGGACAAAACAAACAACGCAGATGGATATAATTGAGACATCTTCATCTTTCTTCCAGCGCGTCTTCTCTACAACTGCAGACTTCTCTGTGCAGGAGGTTTTATAGTAAAACATAACTGATTAATTAAGCAGTTCATCGCTCAAGCGAAAAATGCATATTTGACATGATAATAAGTGAATAATTTACCAGAGCAAAGTAAAAGATTTCAATGTATTATTCCTTGTTCACATAATAATTATAATATTACACGTAGTCCAAGATTTATTTCATGTTCTCTCAAATATATAACAAAAAATCTTAGTTTTCCAAAATATAATAGTAGTACAGTGAAAGTAGGTTCATTAACTTATTTCGTGTCTAAGTTAATTTGCATGCATATGATTTCTTTTTTTTATAAGCTTTTCTATTTTAATTAATTCATTGCAATGTCGACAATAAATAAACATTAAACTGAAACTCATAACAATGTTTAAGTTACATTAAATAGAAACAAGATATATATTTTATGAATGTAAACGTCAATTGTTTCTTCCGATAGTTGATACTAGTGATTCCGATCAGTCCGGATTATCTATTTTAAATTTAAAAACTAACTAAATTTTAATGTTTTCTTTCACTTTATAAAGTCAAGTTTTTTTTTCTGCGATTTATTGTTTTATGTATTTTATTTCTCGATTAACAGATTATCCGCACTATGTGAGGTATTCAATATTTAAATTACTGTACTAAAAAATTGAGAATATTTTGAGCATCGTTTTAATTATTTTGCGTAATATGAAAGATCACACATCAGGTCAATCTCAAAAGTAAACATCTTGTTAACATAAATTTGAAAGCAGCTGTTGTATAGATAAATATGAATGCATAAGAACTGTGTATAGAGATAATTCATTTGAAATTAGAAAACGCTGAAGAAAATAATTAACCTACAAAGATTTGGTAGATGTTATTTCAAAAGTTTACGATGGATCCGATTGATCGCTTTCCAAAACCAAAACTTCCGCTTTCCTAGATCCCATTCACTTAAAAATATCTCGGCAAAATGCGCGTAAAAAATAACATCAGCAGCATTCATTTGCGAAATGAAAATATTTATATTGGATCCATTAATAAATAGCATGAATATTTGAGGGTCGTATAAATATTATTTACTATTGGCGTTGCTCGATGAAAATACTCTTTACGCTTTTCAGTCCAATTTTGGTCGCATAGAATTCGCAGTTTTATTTACTAATAAGCGTGCGGGAATTTCGTGCGAAATGTCTTTTGCGCAGAGGAAACGCCGTTAAAATTAGGAATCTCTATTTAAAAAATAATAATTGACGTAACATTTGACGAAGTCTTCGCATTCCTTGGACGGAAGCCAGCACGTGCAATCAACGAACATTCGTTGCCACTGGGTTATAAATATTTTGTGATTTTGCTTTTCCTTCAATGTTGAATTGCAACATGGGTCATTATCAAGTTAAAACTGACGTAGTTGGCTCGAAACAGCGACGCTGGTGCATCCTCTCTCTATTCAGTTATATTTTTGGATTGCAATATTTTCCATTCATCCGTTCATTTATGTATATAAAAATAAATGTTTATATATAGATTCATTTAGTTTAAATATTATATTGCTATCTTCATAATTCAACTCATCCAATAAATAACACAAAATACTATAATAATATTAGAAAGTTACGAAGTTTTTATTTATATTTTAATTAAAAATAATGTCTAAGTAATAAATCTTCATTTAGATATATTTCAACAACTATACAATTACATAACTAATTAAAGACAAAAGGAAACTGATATAAATATAAACTACATGAATCATTGACCGTAGGCTTTTCCGTCCTTGAAAAAAATGGGAAATAAATCACATTTGTTATTTAGAAAATAATAATGTAAACATCTTATTTATAGATTACAAAAAGTTTACTGTATGATTTAATGACTCTGTTAAATATTGTATTGTAATGTTTGATTGATACATTGAATATTGTCCGTATTTTTAGAACCAAATTACCACTGATCAAAGTAATTTAATGTTTGATAGCTTAAGGATGCATAATTTAAAATTTATAAATTATTGTTAGTAGAATGGAGACGATTCAAGAACTAAAGAAACTTATGATCTATGTAGTAGACATTATAAGAATAATCTCAAATACGATAAAAAATAGTCAAGGAATATTTTTGTCTTAAAAAAAAATCTATTTCCTCTTTATGATTATTTGGCACAAACAATTCGTTTTTTTTTTCTTCGTGCTTTAATATTGTTAAAAATAAGTGTATTATTTTAAAATCAAAATAATCTAAACAAAACAACAGAATTATATATATATTTAAATAAACATTTGCAGGACTCTCCGTTGAGTGCAAAGGTTGCCCTTTTCAATCAGCAGGCCAATAAGCATCTCAGGAAGCAGGCAGTGAATCCATTCTCTAATGGGAAATGTGTTGGAGGAATGCCAAAACCTCAATTCTCAAAGGACGAGTATGGAAAGTAAGTTGTAGATAAAAATAAACAGGAGCGACTGTTTACTCTCGTTTCATATTATTTCGGCACTCTACCAATAATAATTCGAATTGTAGGCCGGCTAAAGGATCGCTGTCGGAAAGCAGGGCTTTCAAAGCGACGATCGAAGTGTGCAAGGAGATGCTGGAATGTTGCGAGATCATCAATCAGTACGGGGAACCACTGTTCGATCCGTCCGAGAAGCAGGACGATCCTAGGAAAGCGATAAGCTTCGGAACGATCTTCACGGTAAGATGCACATTTTAATGGCAAGCGCGAAATGCCCATACACTGCACGCTTTCTAACTTAGGTAAACATATAATTTAAGCACACGTGTCCTGATCCAATGCCAAATCATCGGCAAAACGACCTGGCACTTTTTGAAATGCAATTACTGAAATAATCCAATTCTCATTTTGGCTGCGGCTTTCTTAAAATATGATTTACTTTGCAGATTTACACTGTGATTTCGGACAAGTTAGTGGGAATGTTGCTCAGGGCAAGGAAACATAAATTGGTGGATTTCGAAGGAGAAGTTCTCTTCCAAGTACGTTTATTAAATATTTATTAACAAATCTTCACGTTTTCATTAAAACTTACTTTCATTAGAGACGAGATGACCATGTGCCCATCATTCTCCTGAAGCCGATCGCCGAAGTCAGAGCAATTTTCCGGGAGAAAATCGATGCGGCGAAAGCTGCGCTCAAAGAGAATGAGGAATGCAGCGAAAATGGATATTGATTAATGTGCATACATCGATACATGCCATGGACCATATTATTTATTTATTTAAAAACTAAATTATTACGAGTGAATGCATGATATAGTATGACTGACTGACTGACGTATGACCTTACTTTTGTTTTATTCCATACGAAAAACTCTAATTGACTTTTATTTTTTTTTATTATTTGTATTTGTATTATTTGATTTAAGAACCAAAACTATCGGACACATATCATATGTTTAGTTTAAGGGAATGTCACAAATATCCCAGTTTGCATTTCGAATATACACATAAAGGAAACCGTTTAACAATATAAAGATCAAAGGATATTTGTGGCAAATATTTAAGAGAAGATCGTTTAAGTTAATGTTGTAAATAATTTATTATTAATTTAATTTCACGGTTGTAAATATAATGTACATAATTAAAGCAAATTATTTTCAAATTTGATTATTTTTATTTAATTTATATCGCATTAAATTAAAAAAAAAAAACAACAATTTTCTTTACTTTCAGCAGTAAAAATGAATAATGTACGTGGAGATTTACGTACAAATACAATATAATAATGAAAAGGATACAACAGGAAATTAAATTTAGAAAACTGTACTTGCTGTTAAGAAAAATAATATAAATATAATATAGATAATGTTTGAAGGTATAAAATAAAAGAAATATTTTTATAAATGCATAAAATTTTAATTAAAAATATGTAAATTGATTTTAAAATCGATGAACCTTAATAGATATATGTTTCATTACAAAAATAATTTCTTCGACAATTCCCAAAACGCTTTCGAAACACGACCATTTTCTTAATATAGATATAAAAATAACTTAAGTACTATCAGAGTTGAGAACCTTAGTAAGTAATTGCTCGCACGTCTTCTTCGCATCACCAAGCAGCATGGCTGTGTTCGGTTTGTAGAAAACTGGATTATCGACTGCCGCATATCCAACACCTAAAGATCTCTTCATTACAATGACCTGATCGGATTTCCAGACGTTCATGACCGGCATCCCAGCGATCGGTGAATTGGGATCATCGACGGCCGCACTGTTAACGGTATCATTTGCGCCAATCACCAATGTCAAATCGGTTTCAGGAAAATCATCGTTTATCTCGTCCATCTCTAAGACATCGTCGTAAGGAACTCCGGCTTCGGCCAACAGCACGTTCAGTTGTCCTGGCATACGACCTTTTCAACAAAATATAATCAGTTACGATCAAAATGTAAATCAATAAATTTTACCTGCAACTGGATGTATAGCAAATCTAACATTCTTTCCTTGCTTCTTCAGACTGTTCACCATCTCAGCAATTGGGTATTGAGCTTTAGCAACGCACAAACCGTAGCCTGGTACGATGATAATGTTTCTAGCATTCTTGATCATGTCCACGGCTCCATCGACGTTTACTTCAGTGTGAGTTCCAGTTATTTCCATTGGTTTTCCGGATCCGGTGCTCGACGTTCCAAATCCTCCCAAAATTACGCTTGGTAAGGAGCGGTTCATTGCCTGTGAATTGAGAATAATTAATCGAATTTCCTATAAAATTTGTAGACAAATTCTTACTTTGCACATTATGTATGATAGAATTGCACCTGAGCTACCAATGAGAGCACCCACAATTGTCATCAAGTTATTGTTCAGCATAAATCCTTCAGCGCAAAGAGCCCAGCCTGAATAACTGTTTAAAACAGTAATTACCACTGGCATATCGGCACCTGAAAAAGTAAAATATTGGTGACTCTGCTTTAAAAGATTAATATTTGCGTACCTCCAATTGCGGATGTTAAGGTAACTCCCATTGCGGTGGAAAGTGCCGCTGTAGTTCCTAAAGCTCCAAGTCCGGCCATAAGTGAAGGATCGTAAAACAAGTATGCACCAGCTCCTACATTTCCAAGCAACATTGCAGCGTTTATAGCATGTCGTCCTGGCAAAAGTAAAGGACTTGATTTTAAAACTCCCTGAAGTTTGCCATAAGCAATTAACGATCCACTAAAAAATAATCATTATATATACTGCATATAAATTGATATATTTGTAATCACCTGAAAGTAACACCTCCAATGTATGTTCCTAAGAACAATGCACTTTTAACAACATTAGCTGAAGGATCTGTGGCAAATGTTGAAAAGTCATGGATGTAAGTAGCCATGCATGTTAAAACGGCTGCCAAACCGACCAAACTGAAATATACAATATAAATTTAAAGTCTCTACATCCCATACAATGTTAAATTATTTACCTATGGAAACCAGCTACTAATTGAGGTAAATCGGTAATTTGGATTCTCTTCGCGATTAACGTTCCGAGTCCGCCTCCTGCAATCATGCAAGCAGCCATTTGTCCCAATACTTCAACGCTTGGAGCCATTTGTCCTAAAGTTGCAGCTATTCCGCCGGAAACTCCAATCTAAAAAAACATGATTTTAAATTAAATATAATTCTTAAAAGTCAATATTAAAGTCATTACGATTCCCAAATTATTTCCCATCCTTGATGTTTTCTGGGAACTTAGGCCAGCTAATGCACCGACACAGCATAAAGATGCAGCTAAGTAGGCGGCTTGATGTATCTCCGGTAAATTCTGCATAGCTGCGTATCCATAACCACCCAAGAACAAAGCTGCAGGAATTCCGTATAAACTATTGTACTCTGGTGGGTCATCAGGTCTAAAATAAAGGTTTTATTAAATTTCCATTTACGTATTCTCATTTAAAGTAAATACCTTTTGAACATATCCAACATGCGTTTCGTTACTACGAAACCTCCAAACACGTTTATGAATGAAATAAAAGCGGCAGAAGCTGCCAATGCCTAAAATTAAATCAATTATATTTCCAAATTAATTGATAATTGTACTTCATACGTACTTCAACCGTATTTGTTGGATAATATCCGCCATTCATCAGTAACAAACCTCCGACAGCAGTGATACCTGATATGGCGTTAGTTACGGACATCAAAGGTGAATGCAATGCGGGTGTAACTCCCCACACTGTATGGTAACCAACAATTCCAGATAATCCAAGCGTTGTTAACATTCCAGTAAAAGCGGGGTTTGGTGAAATGTAACCCAGACTCAAAATAGTCCCAACACCTAAATATTAACCATATTGAATACAACCAGATTACCTAAACATATTTCTCCAATTTACCAGTTGAACAGAGTAAAGAATCTTTCACTGTTGCCATCAAAGGTGAAATTTCTTTTTTCTCCTCTTTAACAGCAGCGACGGTCTGTTTAGGTGCTGCTGCAGCAGGCGGTGGACCAACGGGTTTTGGCGGTGGCCACATCAAATTACCCTTTTCCAATATTATACTTCCCCTGATCACTTCATCTTGCAAATTGATATTAAAATGATTTTCTTCTCCTAAAAACAAATACAAATAAAACCAAAATGTAATTATTTAATATTAAATGTAAATCGTACCCATTGAAAATAAAAATTTAGATATATTATTTGCATATAAAGTTGAACTTTGAGTCGGAAGACGGCTTGGAAGATCTGTTAAACCGATATGTGTAATATCATTTAATTGATAGACTTCTCCAGGTTTCGTTGTTTCGAAGTTTCCACCAGCTTCTGCAGCCAAATCCACAACAACGCTTCCTGGTTTCATGCCTAGTACATGATCCTACGAAATATATTATTTACCGGACTATTATAGCATTTATTTGAGTAAATCAATAATTACTTTTAATATCAAAACTGGAGCTTTTTTGCCAGGAATAAGAGCGGTTGAAATAATAATATCAACTTCTTTGCATTGCTTGGCAAATAAGGCATGTTCAGCGTCGATGAACTCCTTTGACATCTCCTTGCTGTAACCACCCGCACTTCCTCCTTCCTCCGTTATATTAATCGTCAAAAATTCAGCACCCATCGATTCCACCTGTTCTTTCACAACGCTTCTCGTATCGAAAGCCCTGACAATAGCTCCCATTGATTTTGCTTGTCCTATAGCAGCCAGACCAGCTACACCTCCACCAATAACTAAAATCTTAGCAGGAGGAACTTTACCAGCTGCAGTAATTTGCCCTAAAATATATCTTATTAGTTATGTTTTCCTTAATAATACTAAATCTAGCTATACCTGAGAAGAATCGAGGAAAATGGTTAGCGGCTTCAATTACAGCCCTGTAACCAGAGATATTAGCCATTGAGCTAAGAGCATCAAACACTTGTGCTCTTGTAATTCGAGGAATGCAATCCATAGCTGTTAAACAAAATCAAATTTAACAATACACAAATCATTTTTTTTTACTTTTCTTTACCAAATGCATTAATTTTTCTAGACGCTAATTGATCCACCAAAGTCTTATTTTGAGCGGGGTATAAAAACGATATCAAAGTGCTATTATCCTTAAATTTCGGTACCTCATTTTCAGTGGGCTGGCGGACTTTCAAAATTATATCTAAAATATATTTATTAGTACGATATTGACTAGAATTTTACATTTTATTGCCTGTATTGAAAGCCCCTTCGTTATCTACTAACTTAACACCGACACTCTCATAATCTTCATTTCTAAATTTTGCCTCGGCCCCCGCACCTGCCTCGACGTTTACATTAAATCCTTTCTTTATTAAAGTTGAAGCCACTGCGGGTGTTAACGCCACTCTGCAAATAAAATACGCTAATGTAAAGGAATAAGTTTAAACAAATAATAAAATCGCAGTACCTTCTTTCATTTTTCCAAATTTCCTTAGGGACTCCTATCGTAATATCCTTATACGGTATACCTTTAATCTCCTTTGCAGAATGTTGAGTATCCTTTTGCAGTAATCTCCTAGATGTATGCGTCGAAAGCCATCTCGTCGTCGACGCGCTTGCAGTCTTCACACATTGACGATCATTCGAGCACCATTTGCCTTGAGTTAAACGCTTTTGTAAGAAGACGACGTTTCTTTTCGAGTAATTTGAACACAAAACGTAAACACCCTGAGACATGTTTTGTTCGTTCACTACCTATGCATGCCGTTCCTGCAATGAGCACTTACAATCAATTTGATGCAAACATATAGCTACTTCTGTCTTATCTGTTTGTTTTCTTGAATTTTGTTTGTTTACTATGTTGTTGGATGTCTATATTTAATCTTTCGATTATATGCAAGCATTATCTAATAATTTAATTATCTCCATATTTAACAAACTGCAAAGTTTACAAAGTAATTGAAAAATGAATATATGATCTTAATACTTATAACTTGCTTTGTATATATATAATTACAGAGATATTATTGATATTCGTGAATTAATTGTGTATAATATTACTTTTTTTTGTTCAAATAAAGTATATAGAAATATTTAAGAATAAACATCATTATATTGAAATACATTATATAAGATGACCTTATACATTCGAACTGATAAACTACTAGAATCAGTTCACATGTGTAATACGCATATTTAGCTTGAATATTCTCATATTATGAATAAATGCAGTAATGAGATTATAAATAAAATGAAATGTACTGGAAATATACTGTATTCAGTCACGCGATTATCATTGTCACAAAATTATCTATACCTGGCAAAAATGGATAAAAATAAATATTTAGCAAGTGCTTGTACGTATGTTATGTGTTTATTATGTATACATAATTCACACGTTAAATAGTTTGGATGCAAATATTTTTAGATTTCAAAAATATTTGTATATGAAATTATCGCTAATTCATATTTAAAATAAAATTTGAAAGCATTCACAATTATTTGGCATAAGTGGTATTAATCTAGTCAATCCAATTAACACTTTTGTAATGAAAGTTGCATAATATATTTATATCAATAATAATTGAAATAAATCTCTTTATATTAAGATTATGTAAAATAATGATAATAATACAAATAAAAATAGAAAGTAATGTGTAATGTGTACATGTTTATTAATGATATTTGTTATTATTACAAGATTACAGTTACAAATTCAGAAAATAAATGATAATACTCGCTTAACGAGTTTAATCCTTTCCAAAATTTTCGGATTTTTACTCGTATATTGAAATATATTCAAAAATACACATACTATGTATACACAAGTTTTAAAAATGACGTAGTAGGCGCGCAATCCGGGACTTTTCTTCTCATCGTCACTCGATATGCGAAACGTTACTCGTTTTTCTTTTTTTCTTAAAATTAATTTTCCTCGTTAAGCAAAATGCTCGTTAAGCGAGGTTCCACTGTTTATAGTTATAATGAAAAATAAATATGCACCACTGAATAACACTATTTGAATATGCATCTGTGTAATTGAATTGAAATCTGAAGAGATCGAAAAACGTAAATACCAATTATGTTTTATTTACTGATTTTGTTATTGGTGTTGAAAGTATTATTGTTATTGTTCGGTATTTAATTTATGTGAAAATTATGTGGGAATGGAAGTACGTGGCTCCCTATATTGCTTAGTAAAGTTACCGGAAATGCGGATTCATGCAAATATGTTTGTTTCTTATATATGCAGACTAAACAAGAAAATATTCACAAATTCTCAAAACATTAAATAAAAATATTTAAATTGAAGTAATAAATCTGGTGGGAAGACAATATAGTAAACATATGGAAGCTTACGATTAAGTAGCAAAAAAAATTAATGACGCACGTAACGATGAAGATGTGTTGTTATTTAGTTTTATTATTGAAATGCATTTACTTTTTTCATGACAATCACCGAGTAAATACCGGCACTTAGAAAAAAAAATGTTGTATGTACATTCAGATTATCAGCAGCTTATCACGTAACTAACAAAACCGTCGAGATTAAAATGCGTTCTTGAGTTATATTTATAATGGGAGCCGGCTTGTTTTGTGGGGAAAGTGACGGGAAATGTTTTTGTTTTTCCGCCGACTTTTCGTTTAATAATAGTAGTGCAACAGAATTAGATCAGTGAGAAATTGGAACACAACCACCGTATAAATACCATACCGACCGGTCGGATCAGCGGTGGCCGCAAATTGTCGTTAATTCCGTGTTGTCGACAAAGAGATTATTGCAGCAGTAAACGACGTTCACCATACTTGCCTGGCCGAGAAGAATTGCTTCAGTTACGAACGATGGGATATATGATTATTTTTGAATTTTCGTTAGGAACAAACTGAACACACCGATTGCGTGGGCGGCGATATCGGAACTGAGCGAAGACGTCGAAGAAGAAGGGATGCAGCAGTCTACTGCTTGTGATCATCAACCCCCATGGAGCGTTTCGAATAAGCGACGCTCTACGAGTCTGCTCTTTACAGTCTGCTAAAAAATATCCGAGTCTCTACCAGAGTGCATCCTACTGCATCCTACTACATGTCGCTACCTCCCCGCTATAAAGCCGCCAAGTTTATTATTATTATGGCGTTTCCAATTAAACTTTCTACGATACATTTACTTCATACAATCAAATTGATCATTCGAGCATGTCATAGAAAACCGATATCCATATGTACATGTACTTTACTTTCAGTTAAGCAAAATGCATTCTAATTTTTAAAATAATTATCACCTAAGCAACATGATGTCATATTTAAAAACCTTCAAATTAAGTTTAATTTATTAAATATAATTTATTTGTGGTTCTCGAGAACAAATACCATGCAGAGTGCACACATGCTAGGCCCTACGAAGGCAATGACTTCCACATGGAATAAACAAGGTGAATCATTAAAAATATCCAATTCCGTCCTGTAAGAATGGTTGCTAATAAGTCTGCGCTTTTTCGTCTTAATCTTGTTATTGTAATTAATCGTTGCACAAACATCGATGTTTCTTATATACATATACTTATTTCGTTTCGGAGCAATCGATGCATTTTTTGAAGGAGATTGTACGTTCGAAAATACAAATATAGACAAAGTAAGAAAGCGGTGAGCGAGAAAGCAAACCTCCTGACTGCAGTCGACTGGTACAGTTCGTACGCTTTCGAACCGACTCGTCCTCCTACAATTCATTAAATAATCCACGCTTGTTTATATCATAGCTGTACGGGCTGACGAGCAAACCGGGCAACTGCATTTCAGACCACAAATAAAAGTATTTCATTAAATATTCAAGTCTAATTAGAACCAGCTGGAGCACGTGAAGATGGCCGGTACCTTAACCAAATTCTGCAAGACCTTCGGTTCTGGGGCGCAACAAAGGGCGAGCGCAATTGCCTCAATTCAACAAAAACGCAACTGTAAGTCCACTTCATTGTCATTCATTAATGATTTCACACCGTTACAATACTGATAATAATCATGATTATAATTATAATCTTCGTATAACAATACTACTAATTTCAATCATATATTATAATTAGATTATAAATTTATTAACTTGTAAATAATACATAACTCGCGTATTTATTATTAACATTATTTAAGTAGCTTCACTTATTTTTGATAGTTTATGACATATATTACATAATTTAATTGATTATTATTGAAATTACACTGCAGTTGAACCTCGCATAACGATCCACAAATATTTTTTGTAAAATTAATTGTAAGAAAAATTACTCGCTTAACGAGCTACGTTTCGCATAACGAGTGACGATGAGAAGAGAAGTCCCAGATTGCACGCCTGTTACATTTTTAAAACTTGTGTACACATATTATGTGTATTTTGAATATGTTTCACTATACGAGTATATCGTTAAGCGAGGTTCCACTGTATTTTTATTAATTATAAATATTTTATATAGACTTCAAAGATATATTATATCAATTTGAATGTATGTTTATTAACATCTAACAAGTGTCTAAAATTTGGTTAAAATTCTTGTGATATCGCATTGAACCGTGACCTATAAATCTTGGTTTGGTTTTAAAGTACAGAATAACAAATTCTCGATTCCAAAAATATGTACATATATATTTGCTTTAGCAACTATGAACTTTGCACCAACTATTTTTTTTTTGCTTCAACAACATTTGCAACAATCTTAATTTTATTTTTTATTAATTTAATACTTGCACGCGTTAATTTCAAAGTAAATAGTATTGAAATATTAGTGGAATAGAACGACCCACTGTTATCTAATCTAGCTACCATTTTAAATCTGTAATATTTAAGTAAATAAACCTATATATAACTTAGTTATCTGGCTGTTTTTGGGAGAGAAATACATCAATAAATGGAAAAATTCCGAACTACTAGAAACGTTTTTTGGGTTTTGTGTTTACACTCTTCGTCCATAAATTATCTACGCAGGTATAAGGGAGGTCCCATATGTGTTTATTTTTAACATTCTCCGAGGGTGCTTTAACCCCTTCCAGTTTTGAATTTAATATAGGAACTTTTTTATTTATAATATGTATTTCACTATATAAATACACTATACTTAAAATAGTGTATTTATATAATCAAAACATGTCATTTATAGTAATTATTATTTGAGTTAAAACCATACATAATATTTGCATATGATATTTTAATTGCAATGCTCATGTTTATATAACAATAAATATAATAAACAAAATTGGGAGTTATTTAGACTGCAGGGTGCAGATTCTTTCGTGTGAATGAACCAGACTCAGTCTAGACGCTGCAACAATATCAAGTCACTCAACTTCTTATACCTGCTTTTGGTAGTGATTTGAATCACTGCACTTATTTATCGCGAATGCACATTTCTTTTTATCGCATTGAAAGAACAGTAAACAAGTCCATAAAACAATCCTTTGGAATATACCAAAAACTGTACGTAAACATAAAATAAGTTTCGTTTAAAAAAAATAAATTGAAATTTCAACTTCCAGTTTTGTGATGCAGTCTTGTTTTTACCTTCTCTTTTATTGATCAATTCTTCGCAGAGCTGCACGGCGAAGAAATAAATTATACGGCGAAGTCAACGTACTGCGAAACGCGCCGTGAATACCTGTTATTATATAAAGCATACAATTAAATGTTTCTTAAAAATAATTTTCTTTTGCGCGCTTGTTTTCTTCTCTCGTTTTTTCTCATTATTCTTGCAATTGCTTATTTTTAATTAAAATTTTGCAGATGCCGGAGGTGCACGTGTGGTCGCAAAAAATCCGGTGGTGGAAATGGACGGTGATGAGATGACGAGAATTATCTGGGAAAAAATTAAGGAAAGACTGATTTTCCCATACGTAAAACTCGAATGTCTTTACTATGATCTGGGTTTACCCTACAGGTATATTATAGAAAAGATTTTTGACACTTTACAGTTTATGATTTTATGTATTTTTTTCAGAGATCAAACTGACGATCAAGTCACTATCGATGCGGCCAACGCTATCTTGAAACATAATGTTGGTATAAAATGCGCAACAATTACTCCAGATGAACAAAGGGTAGAAGAATTTAAATTGAAGAAGATGTGGCTGTCGCCGAATGGTACTATTAGGAATATCTTAGGTGGAACAGTATTCAGAGAACCTATTCTTTGCAAAAACATTCCAAAACTTGTACCTGGTTGGACCAACTCGATCATCATTGGTCGTCACGCTCACGGTGATCAATACAAAGCCAAAGATTTTCTAGTAACAAAACCTGGCAAAGTTGAAATTGTTTACACTGCCAACGACGGTGAAGTGCAGAAATATGACTTGTTCACTTACAAGGGATCCGGTGTTGCTCTAGGCATGTACAACACCGACGAAAGTATCCGTGCATTTGCTCAATCATCGTTCCAAGTGGCTCTCGCTAGAGGATGGCCTCTATATTTGTCTACCAAGAATACAATCTTGAAGAAATACGATGGCCGTTTCAAAGATATTTTCCAGGAAATTTATGAAAAGTAATTTATTTATATTATTTATAAACGAATATCTATAGAAAATTGTTATCTTTTACAGGGAATACAAAGCAAAATACGAAGCTAAAAAGATTTGGTACGAGCATAGGTTGATTGATGATATGGTTGCTCAGGGTTTGAAGTCTAGTGGAGGTTTCGTGTGGGCCTGCAAGAACTACGATGGCGATGTACAATCTGATATTATTGCTCAAGGTTACGGATCACTGGGAATGATGACTTCAGTCCTCATGTGTCCAGATGGAAAAACCATCGAATCCGAAGCTGCGCATGGAACTGTTACCAGACATTACAGGTATATGCTACAAAACAATAACATATAAAAATATTCTTATAACATGAACATGTTTTAGGCAACACCAAAAGGGACAACAAACTTCAACAAATCCGGTTGCTTCCATTTTCGCATGGACCAGAGGTTTAGAACATCGTGCAAAGTTGGATGGAACTCCAGACTTAGCTAAATTCTCCAAAACGCTAGAACAAGCTTGCATTGATTGCGTCGAAGGTGGCAGAATGACAAAGGATTTGGCCGCTTCGATCCATGGATTACCTAACGTCAAGGAAGGAATGTATCTTAATACTCAAGATTTCTTGGAAGCAATTGCTGAGCAACTAGAGAAATCTGTAAAGAAATAAATGAACGCAGTCGCAAGATATTAAACAATGCAAAACTTAATTAGTTTTATATAATTTTTTAAATAAAATATTTTTTTAATGTATTCCATGTGTATTCATTTTTCAATTGGATCGTATTTACTTAAACACGTATAGCTATTAGTTTTCGTTATCAAATGCTTATCATTGTTATTGAATAGCAATTATATTCAGATCGATATTGAAGAGATGTTTTGTGTAAGTTGAGAATAATTAAATGGTATAATTATCAGAATACGTTCGAAGGTTCACATTTTGTTTATGAACCGTATCTCTTGTGTAAGACATCATTTATCGTAGAGGAAAATTTAAACAAATCTTAGTGGTGCTGTGTTTTACTTTAAGTGTAAAGATCAAATCCAACGGTCCGGTTAGTACTAATCATGAATTTCGTGTGCGTTAAAGATTTCGAAAACCATGCCTACAATGTCTTACCAAAAAACGCATTGGATTATTACAAATCCGGAGCGGGATTGGAGACGACTTTGAACAACAACGAGAAAGCATTTTCAAGGTATGATCATATTATTATTTAGTTCGATTTTGTATTTAAAAGAAATCTTTTTAGGTTGCGCATAAGACCGAGATGTTTGAGAAATGTATCCAAAAGGGATCTTTCGACGACCATACTTGGTTCTAAGATATCTATGCCTCTGGGTATTGCCCCAACAGCTATGCAAAAAATGGCACATCCAGAAGGCGAAATGGCAAATGCCAGAGGTTTGCTAACAAAATTATTGTTTATTTTCGGTGATTATAATTATTATTTTACAATTTAGCTGCTGAATATTATGAAACAATATTCATACAAAGCACAATTTCTACCAGCAGCATCGAAGAAGTCGCAGAAGCAGCACCGAATGCAATTAAATGGTTTCAACTTTACATTTATAACGATAGGTTTAAAAACAAATATAAGTAACATTATGCATACTATAACCATTTAATATTTAGAGAAGTGACACTGGGACTAATCAAAAGGGCAGAGAAAGCTGGTTTTAAAGCGATTGTTCTAACGGTTGATACTCCTTTCTTTGGAATTCGATTCGCTGATATGAAAAACCAATTTACTTTACCGCCTCATCTTAGGTATTTTAAACAAACTTATGGAAATTACATTTAAACATATTATATTCAACTAGGTTGGCTAATTTTGGTGGAGAAAAGGCAACGAAAATTAATTCCACGAAAGACGGTGTATCTGGATTAAACAATTATGTAAATAACTTATTTGATGCCTCTTTGACGTGGAAAGATGTAGCTTGGCTTAAGAGTGTAACTTCTTTGCCAATTGTATTGAAAGGTATTTTAACAGCGGAAGATGCTACCATAGCTGCTGATATGGGAATAGCAGGGATTTTAGTATCAAATCATGGGGCTAGACAAGTTGATGGAACCCCAGCTTCGGTACGTTTGATTTAAAATTGTATGTATAAATAAATAATACTTTATGTATATTGCAGATAGAAGCTTTACCTGAAATTGCGTACGCTGTTGGTAATAGAGTGGAGATATATTTAGATGGAGGTGTACGAGATGGTACCGATGTTTTTAAAGCTCTAGCATTGGGTGCAAGAATGGTAATTATACTTTCAATTCATAATTGTATTGTTAACTTGTTATATATAACTTATAGGTATTTATGGGTAGACCGGCTCTTTGGGGATTAGCTCATAGCGGTGAAGAAGGAGTAAAAAAAGTGCTAAATCTTATTAAGACACAACTTGATTCAACTTTAGCAATATCTGGTATTATCTAATATTTGTTGTTAAATAAATTATTTTATTTGTTTTTCTTTAGGTTGCTCCTCCATTGGCGATATTAAGAAGGAACATGTTGTATGGGATAATTACTATTGTAAACTATAGAGTACATTTGTAATTTCATTATAACGATTAATATTAGAAAAATAAACACATTAAATCGAAAATTAGTTGAAATCTTCATTTTTGATTGTAAAACGTGAATTAATTTATAACAAACAATTAGTTAATACTTATTTATTTCTACTTCAATACAATTAAATTGAATATATGTAAGAAATTAGATGTTTTTTAAATACTCTCATTTCAACTTAGAAATATCTCTTTGTCAATGTTTTGGGAAATGTTGAATAACTGTAAAATACAATATGATGTATAAGGAATATGATTCAAAACTGCTTTAATCAGCAAATTCTATGGTGTACTTATAATTTAAATTATTTTAGACTTTATATTGGCACCATTATGGGTCAAAGGGCGAAAATGCTCGCATTTATATTAAACAAAATTAAATAAATTGGAAATATTCATAAATTAACTGAATACATATATATAGAAAATAATAATATTTATTTCAATAATTATAATATTGCTTGGACTAATAAATATTATTATTATCATAATATTACGTTATAAAAATGAGAAATTAAAATATATACATAATCTATATTTTAATGCTTCAAATCATTATAATGAATTTACATAAGTAAATATATATATATATATATGAATATCTATTAAATAAACTTTAAATAAATTGTAGTGAATTTTCAGGAAAAAAGTGGAACATTAAATATAATTATCTGATGTTGGTGGAACTGTAAGTAAGGAAAGCATTTTCGCACATTTCAATTGGGTTGGTAGCGCGTGGCAGTGTATAAAGAAAAAGAAACTAAAACATGGCGGAGTGGAAGTGTCGCGCAAGGTACATGTAAAATGTTCGGTTGTTTCGATCGAACGTTTTAATGTGTGTGAAGTATTTGCTGCAAAAGTGTAATAACTAATAATGTCATCAATACAGTTCGTTGTGCATCCGTTGCCGGGGTCTGAGGAACAATTTAATGATAGGTAAAATGTTCAGCCATTCCAAGCATGCCAGTGATTGCTCATCACCTCCATTTTATGTATAACAATTTTCATATAAATTCAGCCGCATAAAATGGAGAAGATGCTCCGTTCTTGAAACATCCGAATTCCTTACAACAACTTTGAAAAGCGTCTTCCCAGCTTGACGCTCGTTATTTCTCATGTATCCCCTCACGATCCAAAGCGTGCCTTTAGGCACTCCTTATATCCTTCCACCCATTTTTTTTTTGTTACTGGTTAAGTTGTAGCTACATTTGTGTGGAAGTCGTTCTGGAAAATAATGGCGATATTTTTAACGCTTTCCACAAGATATATGAGACCAGTTGTCTGTTACATAAATATGTTAATACTTCCAGCACAACAGGATGTTTTTTCATACATTTATAATAGGGTATTCATGTGTGCTATTAAGAAGCATTTTTAGGTTATAACAAAACTGATAAATTTAATATTGCACCATCCAATGTTGATTCATTTTGCAATCTTATCTTCAACAAAAAAAAAAAAGATTACCTGCTTAATATTAAATATATACACATAATTCTGTAAATTTGAATATGTTAAAGTAATTTTAGAAATTCAATTAATTGATAGGCCAATGCTCGTTAGTGGTAATATTCTAAAAAATGAAATTATCACCTCCAAATCATTGGCATATAATATAGTGAAATCTTTTAATGTTCATACATATATGTTATGTATGAATCATAGAATTTACTGTACAGTTTTTTCTTAACTATATTTATAGGTTATAAGAAGTTTTCATTAATTACAATCTTGTCCATTCTTTTTTCTTATAGACTTAAAGAGGTAGCTGACCGAATAAATCGGTTAGGACAGACTTCACATCCAGTATGGTCACATTTGCGAGTAGGTGTGAAGAAAGTATTGCTGGGGCCTGCACACATTGCATTGCTCCTGGAGGATGGAAGGATTTGTAGAGTTTCATTTAGTGTTATTTCGGACAGATTGGATCTTACAAAAACAGATCCAAATAAAAAGTGAGTTCATTGTTTTTTCTTACTTGATGTTCTTTAATCTACTACAATATTTTATTGATTATAGTAATGGAAATAATGGAACAGGTGGTTCTGGTGGAGGAGGAGGAGGCGGCGGTGGAGGTGGTGCCGGCGGTTCTGGTAGTAATAGTAAACCAACTGCAAGAATGAGAACCAGGGCTCGAATTATGCGTTCCAATACAGCAATTCGAGGAGGAAGTAACAGTAGTAAGTGTCTTTGTTAACAAAATATATTATAAATGCACGCAATTTCTGCAAAACGTTTCTACAAGATAAAATATTTACATGGGCATTATGTACCGTTTTAAACCCTGATATTCTATTTTGTATAATAAACATTACAAACAGTACAACAAAATATATAAAAATGCTAAATTAACACATAATTAATAAGAATATTAAGAAAATCAAGATTGATTTCAATGCTTAATAGAAAATTATTTTCAGCTAGTCGAGGTGCTCCTGTGATTATTGGTACAAGTAGTTCAGGTAGTGGTAGACCAATGGTTACAGTCCCAGCTCCATATGTTCCAGAAGAACTTGTGTCTCAAGCGCAAGTAGTACTGCAAGGAAAAAGTAGAAATTTGATAATTCGTGAATTGCAGGTGAATATCTTCTTAGTTACTTATTATTATATAATTCAATATTTTTATGATGAAAACATGCTAATTTTGATTAACAATGATTAAATTGATTAGTCTTACTGATAATTAAAAAAAAGTTTTATTATATATACTCTATATTGTAACTTGCATTTTATTTTTAAAATATTATTTTCAACAGAGAACCAATTTGGATGTGAATCTAGCAGTTAATAATCTGCTTTCTCGTGACGATGAAGAAGGAGAAGAAGGCGATGATGCAGCAGATTCGTATGTCCCAGAAGACCTTATATCTTTATTAGATGGCGGTTTCCATGCTGACCATTCCTCAGTCATTATTGATGCAGACGCCATGTTCTCGGAAGACATGTTCGGATATTCAGGAATCAGAAAGTAAATTCATTTTATCATATTTATTATATCTTGTTCTTCGTATTTTTCTTTGAGTTTGAAACGCTTCCCTATGGATTATTTTGTTTGTTTTTATGTGGTAGTATCTAGATATAATTTACGAAGAATTTATTTTTATTTGTGTGTGTGTGCGACTAACATGTCTGCGATGTTTGACTTTGCTCAAACTAGCTTCCTTAATAGCCGTAGCAGTTCCGGACGAAACCGTTTGACTGACCGAGATGCTCCGCCTGCAAATAATGCTGGTTCCACGGATCGCGATAGTAGAGATAGTTTTTCTCGATGGAGGGATCGACAGTATTTTGGGCCCAGAAGATGGTTGGAAGCCGCGCTTAGAGACAGCGCTTTCGAAAAGGATTCCGGTACTTTTAATAGGAAAAGTCAAATCAAATTGAATTTTAATATTTTTATTTTCAGATAATAAAAAAAAAGATGGCGCGAGTCCTCTTTGGGTTTCCGATGAGCTGGAGTTTTGGCCAGACACTGCAGGTCGATTTACACAGATTGCTACATTGTATAGTGAATTAATTGCATTATCTACAACTGGTCATCTATACCAATGGAAGTGGAATGATGCTGAACCATATAAACATATTGATGTATGTCTATTAGATCATCTTACATAGTGATTTCATTCTAAACATATTTTATGTTTTCGTTCCAGAACCCGAACATTCATCATCCTAAAACATTACCTTTGAATTTAAGTAATGAGCGAATTACCCATATATCGGCCTGTTGCACTCGATGCTCTGTAGCAACAGAATCTGGAAAAGTTGCAACTTGGGTGGATGAACAACTATTTGTTGCTTCATCTAGACTAGACAGTGTAGCTCAAGCTTATACTGAATTTCAAAATGACAAAATTAATGGTTTGTACACTTGTCCACTTTACACAGTTGCTAAATTGGAAAGTGGTGCACTTTATTGGTGGTGAGTATTTTCTTATTACGTAGTTTTAATTATATTTGAACATGATGAAAATTGCTAGTGTTGATAAAATAATGATTTTACACGATTAGTCTTACTGAAAACAAAAAATATATAAATAATTATTTATTTTCATTTCATGTTATTGATGATTGTAAAATTATTTATAGGGGTGTCCTTCCATTTCAACAAAGAAAACGACTTTGGGAAAAATATAGAGCGAAGTTTAGGAAACAAAGAGGAAATCAGTCGGAATTAGTTAGCGGAGCTCAAGTTTGCATGAAAAATAGCCCTATGTATCAAGCGGGCGCATTAGCATTTACTGTAGTTGCCGGAGTCCCAAAAGTGGGACAATTACAAAATGCCGCATGGACTTTAAGTGACACTTGCACTTTTAAAATTATTACTTACCAAGCTGGAGGGTCAGACAAGAATAGAGATTCAGCAAGTGGCAGTTCTAGTGGCCTAACAAATCTATCTGGTAAAAACAAAGAAAATACAGACAGACTGGATATGCCACCACCGCCTTCGCCAGCTTCAAGTACTTGCAGTGATACAGGAAGTATTAGTAATAGTCATAAGCGACAAAAGAGAATGACTGTGTCTGGGAATGAACAAGGCACGGATCAAAGAAAAGACGAAGAAGAGTGGCTTTTGCGTGATGTGATATTTTTAGAAGACACGCGTACAGTGCCAGTAGGCAGAGTGCTTAAGGTTGATGGAGCGTATGCTGCTGTCAGATTTCAACCTTCGCATGCTCGTGACAATAAAGACGCAGATGACATTTTACAAGATTGTAGACTAATGAGAAAAGACGACCTGCAAGTTCTTAAATCATCCGCGACATTCAGAGCACCAGATTGTTTTCAAAGGACACCGCGTCGAATCCAAATATCCGATGCTGGTGGTCAAATTTTAACAATAGCTGTAGATGGCCAAGGAATACATGCTGTTGTTAGAACTGGTACCAAATTGAGCTATGTTATTTATAATATTTGTAGCGGACGTGTTGAACAAGACAATCCATTTCCTAGTGACACCGCCTCTTTCATGGGCATCTTTCCGCAGAATATTAATCTTACATGTGCTGCTGAGGTATTGTAATTCATGTTTAAATTTTATAGTTTTGATTCAATTCATATTGTTTATAGAGCATGGAATCGATTTTGATTTTGCGAGATGGGAATAGTACTATTTATCCATTGGCAAAAGATTGTGCTGACGCTATAAGAGATCCTCAGCCTATTGACTTACCACCAATTAAGAGTGTTGGAGCTGGTTGTGTTGTCTTGGCCGGCACAGCTCCCAATCTGAAGAATCAAGTAGCAGTTATCATTTTTGCACTGGACCAACAGTTGTTGATGCCTAAAATATTGAGATGTGATGTTGAAGGTGCTAGGCTGGTTTTAGCACAATTGGAATTAGAAAGTAGTAAGTATATTTATTTTTATGTAATTATTTTAGTTAACGTCTTAAATGATGAAAGTTGCAGTGTTGAAACATAGTGATTTTACACGATTAGTCTTTCTGAGCACATAATTACAATCAAATTATATTGTTGTGTATTTACCCTATTACTAAAATTACTTTATTTTAAAGAAACAAATCAGAATGCTGTTCAATCAATACTAAATGAACGCTGTGATGGAAATAGAAACATATTTCATGCCGTTGTGAATATGTGTACACCAACATCAAATAAGGAAACAGATAATGGTATGAATTATAAAATTTTATGAAAATTCAGAATTTATTTATTTTTTATTTAATTTAGAAACTGCACCACCTGCTGCCAACAACACAAATTCTGGATTAGAATGTATTAATGTTATAACAAATGCTGTTGGGCCGCGATCTGTATCATTGAGGGAAATGATGAGACGAGCTGTTCGTACGGATCGTGAACAAATGAACAATTCTAATTCTGGCGATCAACATGGTTTCGTACAAGAAGAACCTATCCCTACACATTCTTGGCCGCCGGAAACTTTTGAAGTAACATCAGGCGACGAAGATAGTTTAATGGGATTAGGTGGTAGTGCTGCAAATAAAAATAGTAACAACAGTAACAGCAATACTGCAATGATCATTGATCCAGCAGAGAGGCGAGGAAACGCTATGGCCATTCTTAGGACCCTTCTGTTTGAATCAAGTGCATTAACGCCGCATTTGGTGGAGTTACTTTGTTCGAAAGATGCTCAGGGACAGACTCCGTTCATGTTGGCAGTGTCCTCGAGATCTTATCCAGCGGCTTTGGAGTTATTTGAAAGAATCACACAGCTTGGTACACCACAAGAACAGGAAGAAATGATTTTCCCGAAAGGCTCTAATTTGGATCATTCGCCGTTACATGTTATATGCTGCAATGATACTTGCAGTTTTACTTGGACTGGAGCTGAACATATAAATCAAGATATCTTCGAATGTAGAACCTGCGGTTTAACTGGATCTTTGTGTTGTTGCACAGAATGTGCTCGGGTATGTCACAAAGGACATGATTGCAAATTGAAAAGAACTGCGCCAACTGCATATTGTGACTGTTGGGAGAAATGCAAATGTAAGGCTCTCGTAATGGGAAACCAAGCTGTCCGTTATGAATTATTGGTCCGACTTGTGAGGGATACTAATCTTGTTATGTCACCTAACGCAAGGTACGTTAACATAAATAGTTATTTTATTTATATTAACTTTATACTTTCTTTTCATTGCAGAGGTGAAAACATTTTACTGTTTTTGGCTCAAACAGTGGGAAGACAAAACCACGAGCAAAGACAGTATCGTGCTTTAAGACCGAGAACAGCATCTGCGAATTCAAGAAACAAAACACCATCAAGTGATGGTACGTACTTTTCTCATTTGTTAACTTATTTCCAAATACTCTTTATAAATGCATATGTTAATACATTTTAGTTGACATAGATATGCCCGATCATGATTTGGAGCCCCCAAGATTCAGTAGAAGAGCTCTGGAACATCTGTTGGGAGATTGGCGCGCTGTCCACAGCATGGTAATGTCCGGAACCAAGGATAAAACGGATCCAGCTAATGACCAGCCCTACGTTGGTAACCAATCTGGGACAACGCTTCTAGATAAGTTCACACATAGCCTTGTGGTGAAATGTTACATCGAAGCTTTGGAAATTCTAATTGAAACACTCGTTAGAGAAATGAGATCTACTGATGCAGAACATGCTCAGTTTGCAACACTCGTTTCCAGACGTTTTATGCGATCTGTAGTTCGCATTTACGTTATTTTCAATATAGAATTAGCTCCGATATGCAAGAAGAGAAAGTAAGAGACATTTTTAATCGTGTATGTTATAATATTAACTCATATATTATTTTAGCAACACCAATCAAAATCAACCAATTACTAAATGCAAAAAAGTTTTCCGTTGTATGGTTAAATTGGCTATACAAGAACTTTGTGAAACAGCAGATTCTCTTATAGCACCTGTTCGTTTAGGTGTAGCCAGACCAACTGCACCATTTTCCTTGGCTACAACAATTCCTGATATTATTTCTGTAAGTTTGACATCTTATTAATAATAAGTTTAGTACTGATAGTTTATTTTAGGGTTCTGAGGAACTATTTCTAGTGGATCCTTTGTCTGTACCTAGTGGATCTCGCAGTACCAGTGGAAGTACTGGTATATCATTATCATCACAATATCCGTTATTAGAAGCCGTGCGTAGAGTTGTTGGAGTTACTCGAAATATGGATGATACTAATGATCCTGAAAGCATGGCTATTGATAACGATGATGATAATACTTCTGAACATGCAGAAACTTCTGTATATCGTGCACATCCTTTGGTTAGATCTGTGTCACTGAATGAGGGCGACGCCCAAGAAACTCCACAAGAACAACAAGAAGCCGGAGGTCCTCAAGGAGAAGATAGTGATCCGGAATTAGATCTACTTGCAGAAACAGAATCTGATAGCGATGACAATCACAGCAATCAGGATGCCGCATCTGCTCAACGCTCGGTGCAAACTGGAGCGACAGCTGGATCTGATACTGGTATGCTTTTTTTATTATATATAAGTATATCATAGTTTAGTGTTTGAATATAAGCAATTTGCTTAAAAACAAACTAGCTTATGTAAGTAAATAATGGTTATACACATTAGGTATGTTGATGTTCCCTGAAGATGAAAGTGGCGAATCCAGCCAGCAAGAAGAGGAAGAAAGTGAAGCAGGCGAAACTGACGAACAAGATACGGAAGACTATTCACTTACGGAGGATCAATTAGAACGCAGAAGGTAGCTATTACAATTATATTTCATAGTTTAGTGATTTAGTTATAATGTAGTTTGCATGAAATATAGAGAGATATAAAAACAACACAACATTCAATAACAAAAAAAAAACGTGGTATCGTGGGCATTTAAAATATTGCAATTCACTCTCTTTTTTTCTTCAAAAAATGTAACTAACAAGTTACATTTATTTATTATGATTAGGCTAGATATGTTTTGTTGTTCTTCTGATCGTTTTAATTGTCTCTATGAAAGAAGCCGTTACAGCAGTGCACCGGGTCATGGTCCACGTACAAATCTTGCACCTCAGAATATGCAATGGGCCATACGGTCAAGAGAAGCATCTCGTTCGACTGGTGTAAGATTGACAGGCGGATCGAACCTTGTGTTCATTGACTCCAATTCCTTGAGGCGATCTACTGGTAGCACCACAGTAGCTACTACTTCTGAACCAGTAACTATGGCCACAACAGCCAGTTGTTTGGCACGAGCATTTGGTAATTATTAAATACTCAATATATTGATAATATAATAATATCATTTTTGTATGTTTAGGTATTGTTATTAGGCAAATATCAGATTTATTGCCATTAATGTTGCAATTAAACCAAATTACTACACCACTGGCTTATCTTCATGTTACCCAAGACGATATTTGTAATATTCAGGTAAATTTAAAATCTTATATCTATTTTTATGTCAATTATTTATGGTTTTTTTTTTCTACAGATTTATTTAGAATTTCGTTTGAAACAAACTTGGGATTGGTTATTAACTGTAATGGATGCTACTGAGGCACAATTAAGATTTGGTGCTTCTCTAACATCTTCGACGGACATAACTGTACCTGGACAATCAACAACTTCTAATCCAGGATCATCTGGAAGTAAGTTGTTTATAATGATAATAAGTTTATAATTAATTATATATTTAATAGATAATGTTGCAGGTTCTTCGGGAAATTCAACATCTAATGGTGTCCGAATTGCACACACTCGTCAAAGTGTACCCGGAAATTCTTCAACACCTAGCGGCACTAGAATAGTTGGATTTACAACAAATGTGGAAGGTGGTCGTTCAAGGCCTGAGAGAGAAGCTGTAGACGGACCGACTGCAAGGAGAGAATTTTTATCTTATTGTCTATCGTTGATGAGAGCTCATAATGGAGAACATTTGGATTCGTTGCCTGTCTTGGATGTATCTGCTTTAAAGCACGTTGCTTACGTGTTCGACGCTTTGATATATTTTATGCGTTCTGGAACACATACTGATATTACAGAATCCGATATACTTAGAGATGGGTTGCCTCTTCCGCAATGGAATGACCAAGATGAAAATGAAAATGAGGAAGATGAAGAATACATGCCTGTAGGCGTTGCTATGGATACAGAATCTCTAGATGATCAGGAAGTTTCGAATTTAGCCAGTATAGCTAACAGTTTGAATACTAGTTTACTAACTACCAGTTCCGGCAAAGGCAGAAAACATTCCTTCTTTCAGGTATGATGTTGTCTTCATTATGCATTTAAAATTTTTAATAATTTGAATAATTTCAGCGATCCGAATCCACACTTTGTTTGGGATGCCTACCACCAGATCCTTTTGATACTCCAATGTCTGAATCTTTGCCGCTAGCTGATCAGCCTCATCTTCTGCAGCCAAATGCTAGACGGGAAGAATTATTTGGAAGTCCTAAACAATCCATCAGCCTTATTCCAAGAAGTAAATTTTGTAGTACATTTTAATTTTGATTTTAATTTAAATTTATTTTTAGCCGGCAATAATAATCCGTTGGAAAATTTACCAGAACGATTAAGTTTATCTACACGCACTTCTGATTTTGCGATGACTCAGCCAGCAAAAGCAAATCATCCTATTTCAACAACTTTAAATGTCATGGGTCCAAATCCATTAACGTATCCAAATAATTACAATCCAGATAATGATCAAGACAAAAGTTCCAAGGATACTACATTTGAAACTAATTTGAACAATGTAGCTACTACTTCAAGTAGCTTTAAAGTGAACTTGCCGAAACATGAAGAAATTATTACGGGAGAGGATAGACCACAAGATTTGTCTTGCAACAAAGACACTGAAATGGAGACTGATCAAACAACTGCCAAAGAGAGCACCAATAAATCACTTGAAATAAGAGATGTTATTTCTCCCAGTTTATTGGTAGCTATAGGCTTAGAACAAGATCTTCAATCTTGTTCACCGACAAGGCCGCAAATCATCGTTTCGCCCATGAAAGTTGCAGCAGCTATTGAAAATGCAAAACAAGCGGCATCTGGAAATGTATCAGATTCTACATATAATTTACACGTATTGCCTCCTTTGCACACCATATTCCCAGTTGGTACTACACAACCAGAAGCAGCAGTTTCACCATCCGGTTCATCTCGGAGTCCAGGCAAAAGTGTAATTGTTCGTGCAGGATCAAATGTAAGTAATATTTTGGATTGAATTAATTTACAAAATTGGGAATTCGATACATGTGCAATTGTTTAAGCTTTAATTGTACGTCACTATTATTCCCAAGAATAATTTGCTTTCTGATGACTGTAATTTGTCAAGACTTAAATTGCAGACAGATACGAAGCATACATATAATGAAACAAATTAAAATATATGATTATATTTTTTGTTTTGTTTACATTACAGATCAGCCAAAAGTCGACAGACAATGATATGAATATGTCGGTTGATCAACCCACAGAATCATTGGAGAATCAAGAAATTTCTTCGAACGTTACAGTGGTTACAACACCAATTACTAATTTGAATTCTGATATTCTGCGACCGACAATTGGTCAATCAGTTTCACAAGATCTCTTGCTTGGACGTTGGAGATTGTCCCTAGACTTGTTTGGAAGAGTGTTCATGGAAGATGTTGCATTAGAACAAGGATCTATTGTTTCTGAATTGGGCGGATTTCCAGTGAAGGAAGCCAAATTTAGAAGAGATATGGAAAAGCTGAGGAATAACCAACAGCGCGATTTAACTCTATCTAAAATGGAAAGAGATAGAACTCAATTGATCTTGCAAACAATGAAGGAGTTGAACACTCAATATAATAATTACAATAGAAGGCCGTCGGCACAACCACCATTGGCTGTGAATAGAGTTAAAGTAACTTTCAAGGAAGAACCCGGCGAAGGATCAGGAGTAGCCAGAAGCTTTTATACTGCTATTGCCGAAGCAATTTTATCAAATGAAAAGTTGCCCAACTTGGAGTCAGCACAAGTTGGAAATAAATATACCCATTATAGCGTGTTACAAAGGTTACGCAGAGATCGCGATTTTCTCCGGAGAACTGCACCAATTGGTAGAGTGTCATCGAGATCACGAGAACAAAGAAGAGTCATGAATGTAGACGCTAGAACTTTTATTCCAAGTAACATTGAAAATCCCCCATCAATGCCTGATTTAAGTGGAGGTAATATAATTTTATCTTTGTGAAATGAAATGTTTATTAATTCATATTTTATTAATTATAGCATCCAATTCCAATGGACACACAAATGCTGCTCATCAATCTGGACATGTAAATGCTGCTCACCAATCTGCTCATATAAATGTGCCACATCAATCTGGCAGCTCCAGCAATAATCAATCAAATTCCAGTGCGAATCGCAATGAACATTTGTCTTCTCATCAGCAGCAACTTGGAGACAGATTGTATCCAAAAGTGTTTCACTTGCATCCATCGCTTGCAGGAAGAATAACCGGTATGTTGCTTGAACTTACTCCGGCACAACTGTTATTGCTCTTGGCATCTGAAGAATCTCTCAGAGGTAAAGTGGAGGAAGCAGTGGAAATGATTGTAGCACATACACAATCACAACAAGAATTCGCATCAGAGACTATGTTGGGTAAGTAAAGAACATTGAGATTTTCTCAGAATGTTATATAAGTAAATGTTCTTAGATTTGGATGTATTCTCATTAGCTGATAGAGGATGTAATCGTAAAAATGCTGGAAGATCTGGAGAAGGTGCGGAAGAAACTCCGTCGACTGACGAGGAAGATAATGCTCCCCTATTTTATTGTCCTGGCAAACGTGGATTTTATGCGCCGAGACAAGGAAAGGGTTCATTTGAAAGACTGAATGCTTTTAGAAATGTCGGAAGATTGCTTGGTTTATGTTTGTTACAAAATGAGCTGTGTCCAATATTTTTAACAAGACATGTTCTGAAATCTATATTGGGTCGACCTATTAGGTTCCATGACTTGGCTTTCTTTGATCCAATTGTCTATGAATCGTTGCGACAATTGGTAGTGGACGCGGAAACAAAAGATGGAAATAGTCTGTTTACCGCACTAGATCTCAATTTCAGCATCGATTTATGCGCTGAAGAAGGTGGTGGAACCCTTGAATTAATGCCCGGTGGCAAAGACATTGAAGTCACTGCTACTAACGTCTACGATTATGTTAGAAAATACGCTAAATATCGCATGGTTAAAGCACAAGAAAAGGCTATTGAGGTAATTTGTTAACGTTAAATTATTATTATTATTAAATATTAATTGTTTGTTTTTACTAGAATATCCGCACTGGAGTATTTGACGTGTTACCGGAAGGATCACTCGACGGTTTATCAGCAGAAGATCTACGTCTTTTATTGAATGGTGTCGGTGATATTAATGTATCAGTATTAATATCTTATACGTCGTTTAATGATGAATCAGGAGAAAATAGTGAAAGGCTTATCAAGTTTAAACGATGGCTATGGTCGATTGTTGAAAAAATGACCCATCTTGAACGACAAGATTTGGTACGCAGTTTTAGATTGTTTAAATATGTGATCACCTTATAATTATTTTTTTAAATTTATAGGTTTACTTTTGGACGGGTTCACCTGCTCTTCCTGCGAGCGAGGATGGTTTTCAACCAATGCCGTCAGTTACAATAAGGCCTGCTGACGACGGTCATTTACCAACTGCGAATACCTGCATCTCAAGGCTGTACATTCCCTTGTACAGTAGTCGAAGTGTTTTACGCCAAAAATTGCTACTTGCCATTAAAACGAAAAACTTTGGATTTGTGTGATGGATTCTTCCCTAATTTTTACATTATGTTTATTTTTTTCTATATATATAAATATATGAACATGTTCTGTGAGCTATTTCCTTGCATCACACTCATTTTGTAAACCAAACACTTGTAGGTTGAATTAAATTCGTAAAGTTTTCTTTAATAACTACTTTTCATTATTACTTATTTTTTTTTAGACTACTCGTGTGGTGCACAGTGAAACATTCAAGTGATATATATAACTTGTGTAAATATTATTATTATTTCATTTTTATTTTCTTTTATTTGAGCGTGCTTATATTTGTATAAGTTATGTAGTATCCTATCTGCGACACGCTCAATAAACTAGATCTGTACAATTAAGAGGCGGTTTTAATCTAGTTTTCTCCAAGTTACAAGTACTTTGTTTCTTTTTATATTTTTGCAAAATAACTTGCATACATATTGTTTTGTTTGTAGACACAATGATTTTTTTGTTGTTTATCTTTTTTTATTGATAAGTTATATAGAATTGAGAAATATTGGTATAATCTAATGTTTCATTATTTATATTATTTAATAACTCCATAAATAAATATTATCACTATAATTAGGTGAAATAAGTATATCTAACTTTTTTTCTTTTCATCATTCTCTCGAATAGAACACATACCATTCAGTTTATATTGCAATTATTTAAATTGTTTTATTTGTATTTTATCTGCACGTTGATACTTGAAGAAAAATCAGAAAAATTGTTTAGTTTCCATTCAATGTGTGTCAACTATTCCTATTAAATCCACATTTAATCTAATTGTGTAACATTTTATGCATATAGAAAGTGTTTTAAAGAATGACACAAATTTAATACACAACTAAATAATATTACATTTTTATCATTTCTCCTTTGAAACGTGTTTTCATTTTATCCCAGACACTACTAGAATATTGGAAAATTGTAACCACTTTCGTTTTAGAAATTCATTACGTGTTTCTCAAAACATGTAAATATGTTGTCCGAGTATATATTTTATAATGCGTTATAATTATTAAAATGATTTGTTAAAAAGTACAATTTTATCTTAAAAAATGATCATAGGATGAGAGTTTATAACTTATTAGCAAAACTTCTTACATTTGATCTTATTTGTAATTACAACTCATAAATACACAATCTGTTAGCAATCGACACCCGCTTTATATTATTTAGATTTTTAATAACTAATTAAAAAATATAGTTTTCAATTTAAAACCATAGTACATGATTAAAACAATAATAAATATTCTTATATTAAACATCTTATATTAAATATGTTTTTACGAAGCGTAACTACTATATTGTATTTATTATTTAGCTGAATATTGTGGTTCTATTAAATAATATTTATTGTAACGGTAATAAATATGAATCAAATTATAATAAATATAAAAAAACTTAACAAATGGATCATAGGACTTTCCACCTGGGTTCTATTAAATATTTTGTCATTTCAGTTAAATAAAAAGGATGTTCATGTTATGATATAAGAAACACGTTATTAGTTACAAATGTCTTGGATTCTTAGCTTAAACACATTCCGCATGGTGTAATTTGTACAGTTATGTTACAAAAACCACTACATTTTTAATTCACTGCCGGATATAAAAGATTTTGAATTTCATATATATTTTGATGGAGAACTTGACGAGTACTTTCACCACTTTCGTAGAACTTCAAGTATGTTCTAAATTCAATTCAATATGTGGTATTATTAGTTGTTTATTGTGAACCTATTGGAACTAACATTTACAACGTGTGTTTTAAGATTGAAATCTTCAGACAACTGTATTATTGTTTAAATATATTAATTAAATTTAAAGCTAACGAGGTATATTTTTAATAATCTTAAATATGTTTATACACTCTAGTGCTGCATTAAGGCAGTTTTTTGTTGTTGGAATGGTGGAAATTATTCAGAGTGGGTGGGTGGGCGATCGTAGTGTATCGGTTTGGGATGTTTTCAACCGAAACCGGGGTGTTCGTGGTTGATGCGCGCGGTGCTTGTGAGTTGAAGTCAGTCGCTGAGATACTTTGTAAAATGGCAGACGTGTTGTAAAGCTTGTCCTGTGTGTTTGTGTGTTATTTTTCGTATAACAGAAGTTTCGTGTGTCAGACACCGGATAATTGACCGTCGGCCACAGTTAGCAAGATATGAATGTGAGTATCATCGATATGGACTGCTCCATGCATACTGCACCCTCAAAATGCGAACCTCCTTTCGGCAACAATATTTACAAAAGATATAATACAAAAGATCAATGACCATGGGTGGGTTTTCTAGCTCGGATTTTCACCAAGCTAAGACCCACGTTTGTTATGTGCTCTCGCACCTACCCGTCACCAGGCAGACTTCAGAACGTATTTCGCACCTACACTCGAAATGTGGGTTTGTCTCGATGGATGTAATTCGTGTGTATATGATGCAAGTCTATTTAAAATTATTAGACTTCGGGTTTCCTCCCTATTTCATCTCATACACGAAACGCCCCTCCCCCAGCTGATTAATCACGAACTCAGCGATTAATTGAAATCACCAACAAAATACTGCAATCTCTGCATCCGAGATATTATCGACTCCAGTTATGCACTTCCATCAAATTCTAATTAGTTCTAATTTAGCATTTAACGATTTACCTTAGATTTCCACTCAATCACATGGTTGGGAATCCACAATTTCTTCTCTACTTGTCGAACATTTCGCTCATTACGTTTCCAATTTATACAGACATGTCTTTCTCGAACCTTATACAGAATATGCAAAACGGCAGCGTTAGGTAATCACCTTTTTTATGTTTACCGTTCCTAACGTTAGATTGTATGTCTCTTTCGTTGACTACTCACTTCAATCATTTAATTGACAATAGTCACATACTCGAATAGGAAATTGTTAAATTCTCCATCAATTGTTAACACACTTATTGCATTAAATGTTAAGTGGCAAAGCTCGAAATAAAAATAATTTGAGTATGCTTTTTTTTCTTTACTCTTCATTATTTGAAGTTAAAAATAAACTTATTTGTTATTTCTTGGATTAATTAATTATTACTAAACAGTATGTTTATTGATCAAAGTAATAATCATAATTCTTATGAAATTAATTAAAAAATTACTATTTAATTAGAATTGTTAATTTACATAGTTTGTACATAGAAAACGTTGACATCGGTCGTAAAATATTGTCGTTTCATCATTGAATTATGAAAACGTTACAAAATATTTAAATAACTTAGTGAAGGTGCAAACATTTACATGTATTTTATCATAAAGAATTACTATTTAACTGTTATTTCCTGAATTTGTTTATAGTCTTTTGATCTACAAACTTATTCGCAAACAACATTCCCGTGCACTATGTCATATATGTGTCATCAAGTATTTCTATTAAATGTTTTCAAATATTACATTCCCATTGATATAAAATTATGCTTTGTTTATCTATTATGTCTTCGTGTCTGAGCATATTTGTATGTGTTATTATCTACCATTAAAACTTTCTAGTCGAATAGTTACTATACGTTTCACAAAGCAACAGAAACATCTAAACAAATGTGATTTAATAAATTGTTTTTTTTTCTACGTTGAGGATTGTTTCGAAGGTGTAAGTTATATGTGAATGCCGAGTGTGTTACATACGTACGGATGTCCTTGGTGGGATTTTGTGCAGTGTAATTTAATAGTTTCATATATATAGACTATCATGTGGCAGTTACTTGATCCTTTTATCTTAGATTGTCCGCTTCCCATCTTAATAAATGCAAATACGTGTACGCTTCGTGATTTAACAACAGATTTCGCTACCGCTTTTCAACGGCTTTCTTCCGCCGATGATCAATACCACTTCAATCTTGAGTGATTAAATCTTGCGAACAGGCAGTTTTTTTTCTACCCCTTTCGAGTGTCTCATTGTCATAATTTGGTGGACATTTTATTTTGCATTGTCTGCGCCACGAATCTTTTCGGATGATTCAATACGCTCTCACCGGCGATGCAAATTATTATTCTTATCGGTACACAGGAAGAATTCATCACGTTTATTCTAACGTGATCGTGAAGCGTCGGGGGGAACGAAAAGAAGCACTTCCAGAGTGAACATCACGTTGGCAAGACTCCGAAGTATTACCAGATATTGATTAGGTTTAAAATAAACGTCGGTTAATAGTCCTGAATGGCATTCGCTAATGTTGAACTAAATTCAGATTACTTTGCCAGTGTGCAAATGTTTGCTCTGCTCCTCATTTCGTCGGCTTCATCGTTTGATGCTGACTGCATTAAATGCAAGTTCACCTTGCACCACAATATTCTAATTACTAGAATAATTTATTTTCTACTAAATTTCAATCTACAACAAAATATTAAGTTTTTCAGTCAAAATGATATCAATAAAATGTCAAATGTTTAAAATTTATTGATTATTACTTTGTAACTGACTTTAAATTAATACGAAATAAAATACCTGACGTTCAAGGATAATGTGATGGATGGATGTGTGCTAAGTCGAAACATTTTTTCCCATTGACAATAATAATCCATTGTACAAGTTTTGAAATTTCGCTTAAAACGAACACTGCATCTTCAAGAATAATAAACCCAACAAAGAAAACACTTTAACCGCTCATTTAAAGCAAGGACGAAACGGGCAATCTTAAATTGTAGTTTAAAACATTCGCTGCATACGAACTATAATTAATTGCGGCGATGGGACTTAAGAAACGCTGGCAATTAATGAACGGCACAGTGGGAAATAAATCCACCTTCCATATCGTCAATAATGAAATGTGATTGCTTTATTGCCGTTGACCATGTGCTTCATATTATACCAGAAACAAAAAATGCGCTTTGATCCTTGTATGTTTGTGTATATTTATTATAATAACCGCTTTAAAGCAAGTAATTATCTGAACGAAACCAGTTTTGGGCTTTTTCCACTTTAATCCTGAAACAAAACAACAACAAACAAATATGAAAAATTATAAAATGCAAAGCGGTTTCGCGAAAAAGTAAAATAGATTTGCAATGTTCATAAAAGTAATTCAAGTTTCGAATCGTGAGTATATTGCATCGAAACGCAGCAAATATCCTATAAATAGAAACGGAGCGGACGGTTTTGTCATTTCGGATGTTGATTTAATTACGTAATTATGATTTTAATTAATGGCACATCGATGTGTCAGATTGAATATTGATGGAGATAAAAGGGCTTTGGCGCGATTTAATAAACAGTTAATACGTATTTTTTGTTAAATCTGAATATGAATGTGTCTAAATATAAAATTAATTGACTAAAATATTTCATGCCAGACTATAAATCTACATATTGTGAGTAAGCCGGAAGCAGTACCTAATAGAATGAGTATAGAAAAAAAAAATGTGTTTGTAAGCGGTCGTGTGATGACATGCAACGTGTGCCACATTTAATAGATCTATATTTTTTTTCTCCATCCTTTATTTTTTTTAAATATATATATCATCCTGTTTATTTTTACAACACATGTTTCCCCCTTTGTGATTGTATTCTAAATTTGTCATCACTGGGACTTCTCTTCGTGCATTTACATGCGACTCTATAAGGAATCTATTTATAACTCATTCACTGATTATAAGCAGTCGTAGTAAATGTAGTATGCACGATCTAATGTTATACGTAATTAATTTTCGTTCACGAATGGGCGACGAGAACTTAATTACAATGCTCTCACAATAATCTACTTAATGTTTTAAAACTTTAAGTACTTTTCCATTGTTGCCTAATAACAAAATAAAATTTTCTTAATGTGGAAAATAGTAAATGTGGGTATCATAATATTTATATAAACTTGATCGATTCAATTGATTTAATTAAAGTTGATAGTGTAATGTATGTTTTGCATTTGCAGAGGGGAATAGAAACTTTTCATGAATTAAGAGTCAATTTTCTTGTTGTGAAACGTTATTCAATGAAAATAGCTAGATTTGATTGAAATAAATGGGATATATTCAATTGAGTAACAAGAGAGGCAATAAAGACACCGTAATTTTATTTTATTAGGTGCAATTTTGATTTGAGCTACGACGGTGATGTTCTCATTTGTGTTAATTATTTCTGTTGAGAAGTTACGAAAATTAAATTATAATGTTAGTTATATTTTGGCACTAAATTTTCTCTTGCATTATAACCAATTGTTGCTGAATAAAAGGTTATCTACATAAGTATTTCCGCTTTTAATAATAATACAATTGTATAAATCGCGTGGGTTATAATATTGTTGAAGGAGGATTGTACAACAATTGTATTATATTGGATATCGTGGGGTGCTTTATCAATCGTAAACGATATGGTCAGGCGCGTCTATATCCGTGTGTCCGTAATCCATCGTCGGATTCAATCCACAGATCATCGATCATTTGCTGCGATTGTATTTTAACAAATGGATTCTTGCTTGTTGTTTTGTAGGTTGATGTTAGGTGCTAGTGAAATCAGTCCACGATGGAGTCTCGTGACACGAGTGGGTCAACGGGGCAGTTGTCCAGTTCCGGAAGCACAGGGGGTGGAATGCACCACTCGCAATCCACGCCAGCAGGAGTAGACGGAGGGGCGCGGACGCCGCCAACAACGCCCAAGAAAGGAGGCAAAATGCTTGCAATCCGGGTGCAGATGCTCGACGACACCATAACCATCTTCCAAGTGCAGGTAACAATCTCAAAGAAACTTTCGAACTTTCGTTGGACTCCGTTAGCTAATTGCGAATTCATTGTTTCTGAGAACGCGACTCTCTCAGACATTGTTCCATTTCTCGAAATAGTTCACCACCTAATTTCTGCCCACTTCTAAACTACCCTCCGCAGTATTCGGAAATTTGCATCGCGATAATATTTCAGGAATATTACATTTGTTACGCAAATAACGTGTTTGCATTTGCGAATTATTGATTCCACCAGAATAAATAGAGTGTGCTTTGCTTGATAAGCAATTAGTGGATGCTGTTGGCATTTGTTTATTTACCAATTATATATGTCATCTGAAAACTAATTGCTTCACTCCATTTTCACAATTGTAATCAGTAATTTAAGCCAATATCTCATTAATCAATAATTCTTATTTCATTTAGACAAAGTGTGGAACGAATATTTGCGCACAAAGACATTGACTCATACAAACTTCAATGAGTAATTAAAGTAATTATTTCCTAATAATAACAGATTTTGTAATAACTTTTCTTTAATAATTTCTTATGAATTATTACATTTACAAGTATATTTTAACAAATATTAACGACGTTTTTAAATCTTATTTATTGATAATAAACATTTAATTTTGTATATGCATTTTTGAGTTAATTATATACATAATGATTGACGTCGATGGTTCATGATTATTATAATGTTTTAAACATCACTGTAACTAAATTTGATAGAAAAAAACAGTTTGATATGGTTAGAAGCAAGTTTGGGCTAATACTATATAAAATACTTATTTTTAATTACATTTTAATGCAGTTATGATGTAAAATCTATACTTGCGAAAAGAGTACTTCTAAATGTAACCAAGGTTGTGAGCAATGATCATTATGGTATAATTAAAAAAAAAGTGTTTATGAATCAATTTACAAAACAGCTTTAAAACAACAGGTTTTACATGTTATGTTGCAAATGTATCAGAAATGAGTTTTCAACTCATAATGCAATATATTTTTATAAAATTATTTTTTTCGAGTTTAGTCATGTTTAGTTATAGGACGTTAATGAATTTACATTTTGTTATCTCCTCGTCGCGAGATACAAACTTGGACGTCGAATTAATACATTTTCTTTATTTACTCGACAAATGAAAGGTAACGTAATAATTGGTTGGGCGCCCACGTTACCACGGCATTGCAGCATTTTTGTTATGCAACAGTTAGCAAATACAATTTTGTTACAAAATTTTGAATGTATTCCTCCGTTGTTGATCAGCAACTTTAAATGGATCTTTTGGAGCATTTACATGCTATACTATTGGTAATCAGAAAATATATGTAGATATTTTAGAAAAGTTGAGTACGAATTTCGGTATTTCCGGTATGTTTGTTAACGTCCACAAGAGATATGCCAGGTTGCATTCCTGGCGTTCATTCGTATCAGGGATGCATGCGGTTCGAGGAATTTGCTCGTATTTTTCAATCTCGCTTTTTAACCGAGAAGAATAAAAATATAGATTACTTCTATTCCTTGCATGCTATAATTATTTCCATTGACCTTCTGAAAGTTAAATTTGCAATTAAACAATGCAATGTATATTTATCCTCATTCTTATCATTAGAAACAGATATATTTGTAGACGCAATGTCCACATTTATATAATCTAATTTAATTGGTTTGTTTATCTTTAATTTTCTTCTTTCATATTAATACTACGACCATAATATCTTGTTTATAAGATAACATTGAGAAGAATTTCAGTTTTATAATATCAGTTTCGATTTATTTTAATACAATAGATATAAAAATCTTATTAAACGAAAAATGTAATAACTTTATTTGGATATTGGTTTAAATTTATACAATACGTTTTCATATGATGACATTTCGATTTAACGGTTGTAACAATTCCATTGATTTATACATTTCGAAGCTGTTTTCGTAAGTCACTGTTTTATATTGCGTGTTTGTAAATATGAAAGTTACAATTCAATTAAATCAATCTTATTTGAATGCAACTTTATTTACCTCGTCGTTGCATATACTGTGACAAGTAATTTAGATCTATAGATACAATTACTTAATACATATCAAATTTGTAAAATTTATTATTGTGTTAAAGAAAAGAAAAACATTGTGTAGTTATTATGTTTGATTTTAGGAAGTATTAACATAAACTAATACGAAAATACTCAGACGTTTCATTGTGTCTTATGAAAATGAATGTAGATTCATTTAACATTGGTTTCTTTTGGAGCATGTTATAATATCGTGCGTGGATCGAATTGCAAATGCCATGCATATAAAACAGGTCTGAAATAAATATTTGCGTTCGTGTAATTTTAGTTTCGCGTTCATTCGAATGCGACCATTTGAATCGTTTAAATAAATGGCAGAAATAATTGAATCACATGCATGTGATGATGAAAATAATAATAAAAACGATGAGTTGAATTAAATGCGTCTGGACCATTTAAATTGGCGATGATTAAACGAAACCGTTGCCTCTGCGTGTATGTACGTGTGCGAAGCGTGCAAAAACAAACAGCATGTTTGTATTAATGTTGCCTAAGCATACTGACATTATTACAATTTGATTCGACTCTAAAGCCGTATATTTGTATTTCATTTTCACATACCGAATGCCGAATGTTTCCTGTGTTCATCAACATCATCATTCGCATTTGCAATTATTTTAATACATTTTATACTTATTATTTTCGTAATCTTGTTTTACTATTATTTATAATTACATAGTTTAAATGTTATTCAAGGATTTGCAAAAAAAAAAACAACATTAAAACGTCATCATTTTTAATTTCAAGGATATTTTCATCACTACGTCATTGTTGGTAGATATATAAGTGTTGAGATCAAAATGAACTTTAATACGTTTTGTTTAATATTCATTCATTGCAAATCCAACATTTTAACACAAAACAGTATTTCAGTTATTTTATTAAAGTTTGCAGAAAGTTTGGTAGATAAAAATATGAAATTGTAGATTTTATGTAACTGTTTTTAAAGGTGTTTCTGCGAGTGCTGAAAACGGAAATGTAATAATCGTACGTTAAGCAGAATATGGGACGTCGCAAATTGTACATTAAATGTGCATTTGTATTTATCAATGCGACAGTTTCCGTTCTCTCACTTCACAGTCTCTTTTCTGTTTGAAATTAAGATGTGCAAGTCTTTTGGAAGGTTAATGGGGAATTCAAGAAATACATTTTTTATGTGAATTATGTTTATTTAGAATTGGGGCATTGATTATACGAGTAAATATGATTTAACAACATTTTCCAACAGCTTTGAACAGTTTGTTTAAATGTGCATACGAATATTTCGGTTACCTTGAAATAAAACACGTCTTTGTGTTTATAAAGAGCGAAAATTTTTTTTTTTGGTTTGGTCAAATCTAAAAATAGAGTATGTTCGTATTCAGTCTTTGTCTCTCAATTGATACGCCGTTGCTTTGAATTAATCATATCTCAGTAGCTGCAAATAGAACTGAAATTGGATTATTTTCGGT